CAAACTTCCAAAGGGCTATAACTTTGTTACTTTAATTTTACCAGAAAAATGGTAAAAGAAATAAACATTTCTTTTGATCAGATCTACTAACTGTTAAAATAAATAAATAAATTATACCAACACTGTGACAGATAAACAGGATTCCCATCAGGCTCGCGTGCCTCAACATCTGACATCAGTCGTGCGGCCCCTCTAGAAATCCGATACTTTCCTTCGGTACCACCTAATAAAAACTCAATTTAGTCGTTATCGGAGACACTTTCTGTTTCATTGTTACGCTGACATTGTATCGTGTTGATTACAGTTTGTTTAGGGTCGAGCCAGCTGATAGAAAACCGGTAGCAGGATACAGTTATCGAACTAGAAAACTTTCGTCCGACCGACCAAAAAGGACAGCCAACCATGGACAGATGTTTCATGTTTCTTGGCTACTCATCATCATGGTATATGCTTAACTATATTCTATCTAGGAGGTACATGGTCTATCGACATAAGACAGCGCAAAGCGCCATGTATCACACCAGAATCGACCACTGCGAAAAGCGCATAGCTGCTATTAGTTGAAACTGTTAGGGATCTCAGTTCACGTTTAATAGCCCAGTCACCACGCGACCGCTAGATGGCTGACGATTCTGGCTGTAAATTAGACGAGGTCAACTTGCTAAATCGTGGTTCTTGGCTACCCTACTGCTACTACTTTACATCCAGAATCATCAGCTATCTAGCGGTCACGTGGTGACTGGGCTATTAAACATGAACTGAGATGTCGAACAATTCTAACTCATAGCAGCTAAGCGTTTCCCACAGTGCGATAGATGGCGCTATGCGCTCACTTATTTATAAAACGCGCCCCATCTCACTCTTCAGAATGATTGGTGTAGTGTTGCAAACGACAACTATAACCTGAATTATATCAAAAATACAGAAATACATACAGGCGACCTCGAATTAACAGTACTTTGTCAACCGTGAGTTACTTCCATGTAACTGAGATGTTCACCATAATAGGGAATATGAATGCTTTTTTTTGTATTTTCTGTCGATTATTTACGTTAATATAATACCGTAAGCACATATTTAATTCTTGAAAATGACTGTATTTTTTTAGTCAAATATTTAAAAGTGCAATGCCAACGACGTCGATTTAAACACCGCATTTTTCGCGCCCTTACAGTGACGTCACGACTCATGGTTTGGTTAATTATTCTGTGTTTGGTTAATTTGCTGTCTTGAAAGATTCTGTTTTTAGCGGGCTTCGCAGCGAGGTTTCACCTCATTTTTGTCACTGACTGCGTTTGTAGGTAATGTACTTAATAATGTCATGTAGGTTGACAGATCAAATGTTACTCGAGAATACCATGAAACTTTATTTTTAGAAGGCTTCAGTTATTACCTACAGTCATGTAATGACTCTTGGTACAGCTGACTAATTTCTAACCACGTTTTTATTATAAGAAACGATATGGATAGATCGTTTATCGTGAAAAATATAATTCTGCCAATTTTGAGCACCACATAAACTAATCAATAATCAAATCCAAAAATTCTGTGTTATGTACATGGGATATAATATGGTTTAAAATGACACTCGGGTTGATGACGTCAGTTACTCGAATCGCTTTAACGCGTTGATTTTAACCGCGATTTTGTTGCAAGTTGTTTATTTTAGAAAAGCGGTATATAATTTCTAATTATTTTTATTATCACTTAATAATCGGTGCTTTTTCGTCTACAACAGTGTATGGAAAGAAACCTTTCATAATATTAATGGGAGAAATGTTTTTTTTTTTTCAGAAACTAATCTTTAAACCATGGCTTTGTAGCATGATAACTTTCAATTCTCTAAACTTTTACACATTTCGAAGAGAACTTTTATTGATTTAGCGGAAATGATGAAAAAAGAAATTGGCAAAACCGTATACAGGTGGAAATTATCCAATGAGTTTATAAGGCCATATTTTAATATTCTTGTGGTATATGGCTACACAGTATACTTTGTTAAGCATAGGAACTAGATTCAAAGTGTCCCCAACAACCGTAATGAGTATAACTGATAAGGTGCTCTACTTTATGCTACAACTGAAGTCAGCCTGTATGAAGTTTCCCAAAAAGTAAGTTAAAGTACAACAAAAATATCCAATACCCGGCAAAATTCTAACTTGTCACATTTCAAATAATAACCAGAAATATAAAACTAATCCTGAGTTGGGTAAATGCCACAACTTTGCGGTGATAACTATGACGTATAACAGCTGATTCATGACGTCACAGATCTTATAACCAAACTGATAACCACACTCGCTTGAACGGATCAATAAATACCAATCCAAAATGGTAAATACCCTTTTCATTCTGTTATTCGCTTGAATTTGATTTATGAACCGTGAGAATGACAAGTGACAGAAGAAAGGCGCCTTTTGACATTTCAGACGGATTATTTTGTTCTATTTCAGAACGCATGGAACACGTACGTCCAATAATTACGAACGCTAAAATTGTTACAATTTACAGACGCATCCCTGTTGTCTTGGCGGCCAAATTCTCCTGGTAGCCACAAAACATGTCACTACACTGACTGGTAGCAGCACGTCCGCTGTCAAACGGTGTTGGCATCTGTGTTGAAAAAGGGGCGTAAGCCATTGTAGTTAGATAGCACATTGGTGGACCAATACTCTTTGGTATTACTCAATCTGATAGGTTGACAATCAATGACAGCGATAAAGGATTGGCTGCTCATTTGCCGATATTGTGACGCCACACCAATTGCGTTACGTTCCGATATTTTAAATTTTCCGCGTATTTGTTCCATTTTTTATTAATTAATACTCGTAATTTTATAGCGGATAGCGTAATATAGAATGTAAATAAAAATGAATAACCGATATTTGAATCACATTGCCAGTTGGTTTTATTTCAAGACGTTGATAGGACATGCGCTGGTCTAACTTGGGCCATTGTAAATTGAGAGCTTGAAAGACGTTTTCAAATCTATGATAGAACGGTAAAGTGAACATTATTAGATTTTCTGAGTACATAATGTCAATTACTTTTTCTCAACTAATTCTTATTAGAATATACCACATGTTACTCGATGCAGATACTAATTATGAAAGTTCATTTGTAAGGCTCATACACTGATGTCATTAACACCAAACCATTTGACCTCTTGATGTCACATTTTCGGCGGAACTTGTTCTGTTGACTGTGGGAATTAAAATAATAAATCGACTATAAAACTGGGCTGAGCTGCATATTTGGAAAGAGAGCTAACATCATTTACGTCGCTAAATTCGCGTCATTAAATTTTCTCATGATGACTAAATATCTACGGGGTTATCCGTTACAAACTATACGAAAAACAAATCAGAAAAAACAAAAAGAGACATTTCTGGCCTAGACAAATATACTAAGTGACATATAAATCCGAACACCCAGTTTAAATGGTTTTATTTTAATAAAATTTTGTATAAGTACTTAATGAAGCATAATAAGTAAATGATAAAAATTTCAAAATGATTGCACTGCTTTAAAGCCCTTTGACCTTTAATAATGTGTGGATGCACCCTGATGTGCTACGCATTCTCCAACGCGCCTAGGCATGCTTCTGATCAGGTGGTCAATGTCCTCCTGTGGTATCTCATTCCAGGCAACCACCAACTCCTCTCGAAGTGCTTCTAGAGTCTGAGGAGGACGTTGCAAATTGAGCAATATCCTACCCATCATATCCCACACGTGCTCAATTGGGGATAAGTCGGGAGATCTTGGTGGCCATGGTAACAATGTGACATCATTATGTTGAAAGAAGTCTATTGTGACTCTTGCAACATGTGGTCGGGCATTATCTTGTTGGAAAGTTGGATCTGCCAGGGTGTCAAGATAGGGTAAAAGATAGGGTTCTAGAACTTCGTGGATATAACTCTGCGCGTTCATGTTACCTCTGATGAACATGTCTTTCAACAAAAAACTGTGGATTCCTCCTTTCACCACGTCGCCTTCTAACCCTGGCACGACCATCGTGCATGCCTAAACAAAATCGAGACTCGTCACTAAAGACAATACTGTTCCATTCCTGATCCCAGAGTGACCGTTGTCTGCACCACTCAAGGCGATTACGTCGGTGTTCTCGAGTTAAAGGGAGGACCCAGTGTGGCTGGTATGAAAACAAGCCAAAACTTCTCATTCGTCGGTAAACACTTCGCATGCCAATAGGTCTTCCGTGTTCTGCAAACCATTCATTTGCAAATGGACCTGGTAGTGGAGAAACGGTCCCTTAAGGCCAATAATCTTAGGCGGCGATCTTCACGGTCTGTCGTTCTACGGCGGCGTCCAGTGCCCCTTGCTCTTTGCGTACGGCCTTTTCGAAGCCATGCCTGACAACACCTAACCACAGTGTCTACACTTCTTTGCACTCTAACTGCAATTGCCCGAAAAGAAAGTCCAGCTTCCCGAAGTCCCACTATACGGCCTCTATCAAACTCACTAAGTTGACGAAATCGTACAGGTCTCCGTACTCTAGGCATCGTAAACGATCGTAGAGGATGTCAAGAACCAAAATCCGCCAACGTTGATTCTTTACTGCGGCTGAAATATTCATTTTTAGAGCGTTAGTGAATTAAAAAAAAGCAGTATAAAAACCGGAATGTCCAACTGATAAGGCTGAAAATTTTTTCACTTGTTATTAACAGTAAGATAAATACATTCACCAACTTTTATTAAAATAAAACCATTTAAACTAGGTGTTCGGATTTATATGTCACTTAGTATATTTAGACTTACAATTTATTTATGAAGCCTTAACGTGCTTGTATTCATGTCGTCTTCCGCACAATTACTGCTACTACTGTAAAAATTTCGATACAACGTAATTACTATACTAAAAATAAAAAAGCTTGTAATTTTTGGAAATCGGTCCAGTGGCGGCCAAGCTACGGGCCAAAAATAAAAAAAAGAAACAAAAATCGTTCAAACTCGATTTGTGAATATGTTTTCCTTTGTTGCAGTTAGGATTTTTTACATACTACTCAGTAACCGCTGGTGAGCTAAATCCAACGGGACCAGTGCCTATCGACTCCATATTTATCTATAGACCAGATAAAAGAACTGAAATATGGAGGTTTCTATTCTACATGATGTTACACGCCGGGTAAGTACAACAATTTATAATATTTTTTCGATATCTTGACACATTGCGCTCCTTTTTTTCTTCAATTCGTAAGCTTTCCCATCGCTACTTTAGTCTGTCTAAATACGTGGCTTTACTTTTAAGAGCTTACTTGGGGTACTATACTACAAAACTACAGAAGACTCTGTTTAAAAACACATTCATTATTTTCATTCATAATAACATATGAAGATTAATACTACGACTAATCCTCATTAAGCATACTTATACTGCTGCCATACATTTCCGGCCAAGGCACATTGAATTTATTAATTAAATTAATTAATTAATTTTGGTTTTCCATCCTGGATAAATCTAGACAATGACACATTTTATAATAATATCGATAATAATATGTGTTTATTTGTGACAGCCATATCTGTGTACGTTTCAAAAATAAAATCAAAATCGAATAACACATAAGTAAACACTGAAGCTGCCTAGCTTGTGTATAGATATTTCTTCGGTTACGAGTCAACATTTTTGTCAAAATCGGGATAATTGTCCAAATCAGCGGTTTGTCTGTAGGGGGATTAATTGTCTGCAATAATAAATAAAACTCTGGGTATCTACTCAAGGCCTATACTTACTACGCTCTACACAATTTATAAAATATTCACTAAGTTATTGAAATACGTTTTTCCGCTATCTACCATCCGTTTCTTTATTTGAGGTTTGTATCTCGAGACTGATGTTATACTATTTCCAAGATTCAGAGATTGTTTAATTTCGGTGCAAGATAAAGCGCATCTGTCCTGCATATTTGTTTCTTCGAGGGATCCCATAACAATTGTGTTGGCTATTTTCTTTAGTACTTTACGATAGTAGATTTGTCGTATATCAAGAATGGAAGTTTCGGTGTATAACAGATTCGTGGGATGTGTTATTTTTTTCTGATAACGGGTGATTTTTTAAGAGGTATAGGATTTGATTTTCAAAAAAAAAAACACAAAGAATTTGAAAAAACGATTAAATCTTTATTTGAGTCGATAGAACGGTCGATATAATTTAATGTTTAAAGATTATTTCATGTAAATGTTGGCCGCGGCTCCGCTTTAGATGGCCCATGCGCAAGGTCCAATTTTGGCACACTCTCTCCAACATATCGGCCGGTATCTCACGAATAAATGCTTCAATATTGGCTTCCAGTGCGTCAATCGTTGCTGGTTTATCCCTGTAGACATTAGCCTTAACATGGCCCCACAAGAAATAGTCCAACGGCGTTAAATCACACGATCTAGGCGGCCAATTGACGGGCCCCAAACGTGAGATAAACTGTTCACCGAACTCGCCTCTCAATAGGGCCATTGTTTCGTGTACGGTGTGGCATGTGGCACCCTTTTGTTGAAACCACATGTTAGCCAAGTCCAGCTCTTCCATTTTGGACAAAAAAAAGTTTGTTATCATCGCACGGTAGCGCTCGCCATTCACAGTTACGTTCCGGCCATTGTCGTCTTTGAAGAAGTACGGCCCGATGATGCCACCGGCCCATAATCCACACCAATTTTGCTTGTTAACGTACCCATTCAACCAGAAATGAGCTTCGTCGCTGAACACAATTTTTCGATAAAAATGTGGATCTTCCTCCAACTTTGCCAGCGTCCATTCACCAAATTGGAAAGGTTGTTGAAGGTCGTGTGGCTTCAATTCTTGCACCAGCTGTATCTTATAAGGTTTTACACCCAAATCCTGTCGCAAAATTTTTCACGTAGTGGAGTAACAGAGGTCCAATTAACACTCAAATTCAATAATTTGCAAGCGTTGTTCGTTCGTAAGTCGATTCATGGTTAAATTATAGACCAAACTGAACAAGTTTGACAATGACACAAGACACGATTCACGCGTCATCTGTCAAAAACAGTGTTGCCAAAAAGATACTAGCAAAAAAATCACCCATTATATTACTTTTTAAATCCATTTTTGCAATACCTCAAGATCCTTTAATGTGTGTTGGTTACTCCACCTCATCCAATGATTCCATAAACAGCTGTGATTGGACCAATGCTGTGTACAGTATCTTTAAGTCATATTTGACCAGGAAATCTTTCAGAATCCTTAATCTTGGAATCACACTTCTCAATTTTGTGCTAATATATGCATTGTTAAATACTCGTCCACCACGGTATTTTACACAGTCTGACTCATGGATATTTATATGTGGGTCAACTTGCAATGTTCCTAAATTGGGTTGTCTATTAGTATAAAATCTAAATGTCATACATTTTGTTTTATCACAATTTATTAAATCGGAGCCAACCAAGTATTGAATTAATTTTTTTTTAACTGAAATCAATGTCTACTGTTTCCTTGTTTGCCGTAAATACGCAAATATACTAAGTGACATATAAATCCGAACACCCAGTTTAAATGGTTTTATTTTAATAAAAGTTGGTGAATGTATTTATCTTACTGTAAATAACAAGTGAAAAAATTTTCAGCCTTATCAGTTGGACATTCCGGTTTTTATACTGCTTTTTTTTAATTCACTAACGCTCTAAAAATGAATATTTCAGCCGCAGTAAAGAATCAACGTTAGCGGATTTTGGTTCTTGACATCCTTTACGATCGGTTACGATGCCTAGAGTACGGAGACCTGTACGATTTCGTCAACTTAGTGAGTTTGATAGGGGCCGTATAGTGGGACTTCGGGAAGCTGGACTTTCTTTTCGGACAATTGCAGTTAGAGTGCAAAGAAGTGTAGACACTGTGGTTAGGTATTAACAGGCATGGCTTCGAGAAGGCCGTACGCAAAGAGCAAGGGGCACTAGACGCCGCCGTAGAACAACAGACCGTGAAGATCGCCGCCTAAGATTATTGGCCTTAAGAGACCGTTTCTCCACTACCAGGTCCATTGCAAATGAATGGTTTGCAGAACACGGAAGACCTATTGGCATGCGAAGTGTTTACCGAAGAATGAGAAGTTTTGGCTTGTTTTCATACCAGCCTCCCTTTAACTCGAGAACACCGACGTAATCGCCTTGAGTGGTGCAGACAACGGCCACTCTGGGATCAGGAATGGAACAGTATTGTCTTTAGTGACGAGTCTCGATTTTGTTTAGGCATGCACGATGGTCGTGCCAGGGTTAGAAGGCGACGTGGTGAAAGGGGGAATCCACAGTTTTTTGTTGAAAGACATGTTCATCACACTGTTGGAGTTATGGTTTGGGGTGCTATAGCTTATGGTTCCAGGTCACCTTTAATCTTCATCAGAGGTAACATGAACGCGCAGCGTTATATCCACGAAGTTCTAGAACCCCATCTTTTACCCTATCTTGACACCACTTTCCAACAAGATAATGCCCGACCACATGTTGCAAGAGTCACAATAGACTTCTTTCAACATAATGATGTCACATTGTTACCATGGCCACCAAGATCTCCCGACTTATCCCCAATTGAGCACGTGTGGGATATGATGGGTAGGAGATTGCTCAATTTACAACGTCCTCCTCAGACTCTAGAAGCACTTCGAGAGGAGTTGGTGGTGGCCTGGAATGAGATACCACAGGAGGACATTGACCACCTGATCAGAAGCATGAAGGCGCGTTGGAGAATGCGTAGCACATCAGAGTGCATCCACACATTATTGAAGGTCAATGGGCTTTAAAGCAGTGCAATCATTTTGAAATTTTTATCATTTACTTATTATGCTTCATTAAGTACTTATACAAAATTTTATTAAAATAAAACCATTTAAACTAGGTGTTCGGATTTATATGTCACTTAGTATATTTGATGAGCTCCAAATTCAGTAGAAAAAAGAACATCTCATGAGCGAACGGTAAATAAAAAGTGTGATATCATCAGCGGATTGTATGAGTGTCATCGTCAGACTTACGTAAACGAGACGTTTCCTGCTGCCCCAACAGTATAATTGATTATTAGATTATTAACGCACATCCACGACATCCTGCGTTTACTGGCGCTACGTGTTTTAAATTGACGTTGATGACATTCACTCGAATTGCATTAACGTTACCCGGGGATGTGATTTAGAAAATGACTGGCGCCATATTCCAGTGAATCATATGGATCAATTATCCAATAACAATGGTCCAAACTAGGCTGATGTCCAGCCAGGTGGTGTATTTGGACGTTCACCCAGCAATCCAAGAAATTGGGAGATTTTGTATAAGGGTATCGTACACTTTTTGCGTTTGATCTAAAATCTCGAATTACCTTCGATCCTATGTAAAAAACTGATCGAAATAATTTTGTAGGGGATTAAATTCTTTATCATTTTGACTTTGTAAAAAATTGTGGTATAGTCAACAGTTTACGAGAAATTAAAGGGTAAGGTATGGTATATCTGAAGTCACTTGAAATAGCATAAAAACCTTTGGTCGCCGCGTCCTTTGTAATTTCATGACGTATCATAGGCGTGCGGTGATTTATTTAGAACGATAATAATAATGTTTTTATATCACAATAAATGGATTTTTATCTTCTTATTTTTTTGATTTGGGATAAAAAATACTTATATTGGGAGTTTAATTTATGTTGACTGAAAGTTAAGAAATGGAAAAATTACAGAATTCCAACGTTTGACATAGGCAAATATTTACATAGCAGGTAGGTATATAAAAAGGTATATAAAGACTTACATTATAGGTATTTATATATCATCCTCGCCTTCGGAGCTGTCGCTAGAGTCATCTTGTAGAGGAATTACAACGGGATTTACAGGAGGCAAAACACAATATTCATTTTCTTTTTCAATAATATGCCTAGAACCCTGCTTCCATAGGTCTGTGGCAGCAATATGAGATACTGCATCTCTTATTGTGGCCAATAGCGATTCACTTAATTGAGGGGTCTGATTATGTTTTCTTACTTTTTTTTTAAAGCAGCCCAGACCAACTCAATCGGGTTAAAAATGCAGTAATAGGGAGGTAGACGTAATACTTCATGGCCATTTTGCTGAAGCAGATTGTCAACAACAAACTCTTTTTCAAATTTTTGTCTTTTAATAAGATCCAATAATATGGCTTTGGTTGATTTTTGTGGTATTTCCATTCCCTTATCCTTCATAAAATCAATAATGTCTTGTTTTTTTGTGCCTGTATTCGGAATTTTGTTTTTCTGTCGGGAATGGTATGGCGCATGGTCCATAATAATCACTGAATTTGGGGAAATGTTTGGTATTAACTGCTGCTCTATCCATTTTTCAAATAAGTCGGAGGTCATGTCCTCATGATAGTCGGCACATGATTCTTTGATATTTTTGGCAGATAACAGCAAGGCATTAGGTATAAATCCATTTTCACTGCCAGCATGGAGAATAATGATTCGTTTTCCACGGTTGCATGGTGCATTTAAAATGCACTTGTTGCTGTCGTCAACCCAGCCGTACTGCACAACATCATGGGTATCATACCACGTTTCATCCAGGTAAATCAGATTTCTTTTCTGCTCTCTATAGATTTTAGCTTTGTGCAAAAATTCTTGGCGCAATTCAACGATTCGAGACGACTCCATAATCACCATTCTCTTATCTAATTTTTTGTATTGAAAACCACACAGTTTTACAATACAGTGCAGTGAGTCTAAGCATTTGTAATTATAAAAATCTTCAGGATAATCTTTTAATTTATCCCGTATCATTTCCAACGTGGGCACCAAATTTTCTTTATAAAATGCGTATATTATACGACGAATATCTTCCTGAAAACCCACGTCTATTCTTTTTAATTTTTGCCCTATGCGCTTTCTATGGAAGGAATGGTTGACTACATCTCCCCTTTTTATAACCCGATAAATGGTAGACCGACTGATTTTTGTCAGGATACAAATTCTGTTTAAAATTTGATTTTGCGAGGAATCTGGATTTTCGTTTTTCAGACAATCATACATATTTAGGATTACTCTTTGGGTCTGTTCCTCTAAATCTTTATGAAAGAATTCTGCCTGCACAGGTTCATCAACCATCTCCTCGTGGCTTGGAGCATTTTCCCAAGGTCTTCAAAGAGCCATATTTAGGACACACAAGAACAATCAACACAACAATTAAATCAACAAGTAAACTGAGTATTCAAAAGTCAAAAACACACAAACTAATAAAATCTATGAAAAAACACGGACAGACTAAATAAAACACGTTTATTCACCGCTACACGGCACTGGCTAAACTGTTTCAATTTTCAGTAGCCACCTGCACTTGTTCGGAGCTCTGAAATACACGCTTTCTCATTTGCTATGTCCACGCATAGGCGTGCTTTACTCCACGTGGACCGGTGAAACTGCCTTTGATCTTATTATATTTGCTGCGAAATTTGGCGATTTTTGCAGCAACAAGGCGTGTTAAATATAGATATATAAAACGCACCCGGTATTTCACAGTGTTTCAAGTGACTTGAGATAAACTACACATGTAATGATATTTCCGCTTATAGTGGCTAAACTAAGAGCCTAAATAGTAAAAAGCAACTGTTTGTTGTAGAGAATAAAGTTTGCAACAAAAAGACCTGCTAGGTGTTTTCGATACGTTGATGGTTTTTTGAGTATAAGGAGGGAGAGTAAACCCGCATACATTATTCCACGTGGAGAACTTTATAGTCGTTATCTGTTGTCAATAGTAACATTTTAAACTAAATCTATTTTTACTGCCATGTGAAAGTATAATGTAGAAAATATAATACTCTTTGATCACTACCTTTCCATTAAAGTTGTTGCAACGATTGCTGAGGCTACGCAGTGACAAAATGGCCAATAGACAGACTGATGTGAGTGACTTTCATGACAACAAACAGATTCAATCTACAAAAGTTAAATGAATTATAAATATTCGCTCAACTTAACTTCAACTGTTCTCTTTTTTTGCAGCTGGCTCCACCTGTGCTTCAACCTGAGCGTCCAACTACTTGTAGGCCTTCCCTTAGAGATGGTACACGGCACCGGTCGTACCGCTCTCATCTACCTCAGTGGAGTACTGGCTGGTTCCTTGGGCACCTCCGTGTTCGACGACCGCGTCTACCTGGTCGGCGCGTCAGGCGGAGTGTACGCGCTTCTAGCCGCGCACTTAGCAAACGTACTCATCAACTACGATAGCATGCGATGCGGCGTGCTGAGGTTACTCGGGATTTTCGCTATTGGTGAGTCTTAAGTTGATCTCATTATCCTTTTCGTCTCATCGGTCTTGATGGAAATAAAATCATAATGATTTGGATCGTATTAATGATCCCAGTGATTGATTGATATCAAGGATCTGAGTGAGTGATCTCAAGAATTTCAGTGAACCGAGTGTCAATTCCAAGGACATCATTGATCTTACCTATGCCAAGTAGTGACTTAAAGTAAATTAATAATCTAAATGATCATGAAAATCTCAATGATTTATGAATGTTCTCAATAATCCCATATAATGATCTCAATGATTTTAACGGTCTCCTTGATTACTCATTCTCGTTGGCACGATTGATATCATTGATCTATTCTATCTTTCTGATCTGATTGTATGATCTCAGGATTCTTATTTTCGCTAGTGGTGAGTCCAAAATTGGTCTCATTGGTCTCAGTGGCATTAAAAATCAGTAATCGTAATGATATATCGGTGAGAATGATTTTGATGATTTCCGAGATTGTTACCAAGGATCTCAGTGAGTGATCTCAAGAATCTCAGTAAGTCAAATCAATGGATATCAATAATCTAACCCATGCCAAATAAAAATGTCAGTGGTTCCAAGTATATTAATAATCTTAATGATCATGTAAATCTCAATGTTTTATGAGTGTTCTCAATAATATCAATGATCACCTCAAATGATCTCCGTGGTTTCAGTGATCTCATTGATTACATGTTTTCATTGGCATTATTGATCTCATTGATATGTCCTATCTTTTTGATCGGATTGTGTGATCTCAAGATTCTCGTTGGCTTTATTAATGATCTTAGTGAATGACGTTATGTATCCCAATGAATAATCTCAATCATTCCAATGATCCCAGTGGATATTTTCAATTATTTCAATACTCTCTATAGTGTTAAAGATCCTATTATTCTATCGATCTCAGTGATTGATTGATATCAAGGATCTAAGTGAGTGATCTCAAGAATTTCAGTGAACCCAGTGTCAATTCCAACGACATCAATGATCTTACCTATGCCAAGTAGTGACTTAAAGTAAATTAGTAATCTAAATGATCATGAAAATCTCAATGATTTATGAATGTTCTCAATAATCCCATATAATGATCTCAATGATTTTAACGGTCTCCTTGATTACTCATTCTCGTTGGCACGATTGATATCATTGATCTATTCTATCTTTCTGATCTGATTGTATGATCTCAGGATTCTTATTTTCGCTAGTGGTGAGTCCAAAATTGGTCTCATTGGTCTCAGTGGCATTAAAAATCAGTAATCGTAATGATATATCGGTGAGAATGATTTTGATGATTTCCGAGATTGTTACCAAGGATCTCAGTGAGTGATCTCAAGAATCTCAGTAAGTCAAATCAATGGATATCAATAATCTAACCCATGCCAAATAAAAATGTCAGTGGTTCCAAGTATATTAATAATCTTAATGATCATGTAAATCTCAATGTTTTATGAGTGTTCTCAATAATATCAATGATCACCTCAAATGATCTCCGTGGTTTCAGTGATCTCATTGATTACATGTTTTCATTGGCATTATTGATCTCATTGATATGTCCTATCTTTTTGATCGGATTGTGTGATCTCAAGATTCTCGTTGGCTTTATTAATGATCTTAGTGAATGACGTTATGTATCCCAATGAATAATCTCAATCATTCCAATGATCCCAGTGGATATTTTCAATTATTTCAATACTCTCTATAGTGTTAAAGATCCTATTATTCTATCGATCTCAGTGATTGATTGATATCAAGGATCTAAGTGAGTGATCTCAAGAATTTCAGTGAACCCAGTGTCAATTCCAACGACATCAATGATCTTACCTATGCCAAGTAGTGACTTAAAGTAAATTAGTAATCTAAATGATCATGAAAATCTCAATGATTTATGAATGTTCTCAATAATCCCATATAATGATCTCAATGATTTCAACGGTCTTCTTGATTACTCATTCTCGTTGGCACGATTGATATCATTGATCTATTCTATCTTTCTGATCTGATTGTATGATCTCAGGATTCTTATTTTCGCTATTGGTGAGTCCAAAATTGGTCTCATCGGTCTCAGTGTCATTAAAAATCAGTAATCGTAATGATATAGGCCATATCAATGAGAATGATTTTGATGATTTCAGAGATTGTTACCAAGGATCTCAGTGAGTGATCTCAAGAATCTCAGTAAGTCAAATCAATGGATATCAATAATCTAACCCATGCCAAATAAAAATGACAGTGGTTCCAAGTATAATAATAATCTTAATGATCATGTAAATCTCAATGTTTTATGAGTGTTCTCAATAATATCAATGATCACCTCAAATGATCTCCGTGATTTCAATGATCTCATTGATTACATGTTTTCATTGGCATTATTGATCTCATTGATATGTCCTATCTTTTTGATCGGATTGTGTGATCTCAAGATTCTCGTTGGCTTTATTAATGATCTTAGTGAATGACGTTATGTATCCCAATGAATAATCTCAATCATTCCAATGATCCCAGTGGATATTTTCAATTATTTCAATACTCTCTATAGTGTTAAAGATCCTATTATTCTATCGATCTCAGTGATTGATTGATATCAAGGATCTAAGTGAGTGATCTCAAGAATTTCAGTGAACCCAGTGTCAATTCCAACGACATCAATGATCTTACCTATGCCAAGTAGTGACTTAAAGTAAATTAGTAATCTAAATGATCATGAAAATCTCAATGATTTATGAATGTTCTCAATAATCCCATATAATGATCTCAATGATTTCAACTGTCTTCTTGATTACTCATTCTCGTTGGCACGATTGATATCATTGATCTATTCTATCTTTCTGATCTGATTGTATGATCTCAGGATTCTTATTTTCGCTATTGGTGAGTCCAAAATTGGTCTCATCGGTCTCAGTGGCATTAAAAATCAGTAATCGTAATGATATAGGCCATATCAATCAGAATGATTTTGATGATTTCAGAGATTGTTATCAAGGATCTCAGTGAGTGATCTCAAGAATCTCAGTAAGTCAAATCAATGGATATCAATAATCTAACCCATGCTAAATAAAAAAGTCAGTGGTTCCAACTATATTAATAATCTTAATGATCATGTAAATCTCAATGTTTTATGAGTGTTCTCAATAATATCAATGATCACCTCAAAGAATCTCCGTGAGTTCAATGATCTCATTGATTACATGTTTTCATTGGCATTATTGATCTCATTGATATGTCCTATCTTTCTTATCGGATTGTGTGATCTCATGATTCTCGTTGGCTTTATTAATGATCTTAGTGAATGACGATATGCATCCCAATGAATAATCTCAATCATTCCAATGATCCGAGTGGATATTTTCAATTATATCAATGCTCTCTATAATGTTAACGATCCTATTATTCTATCGATCTCAGTGATTCAAATTATATGATTAATTTCGTCGATCTCAATTTTCTCTACTGATTACGTGGATGTCGTCGTACTTTCGATCTCACTGATTCTCATTGGCATGATTGATCTCATCAATATTTTTATCTTTTTAATCTGATTGTATGATCTCAGCATTCTCGACGATTATTTTGATCTTAATCAATGTTCCCATGAAAATCCTTAATGGTTTCAGTGAGAAACCTTGATGATTTCAAAGATTGTAGCGAATTTTGTCAATAAGTTCAACGCTTTTAAAATACGCAATGATCTCATTGAATGAACTTATTGATCTCATTGATCTTAATGATCTCATCGATCTCGCTGATCTCACTGATATGATCTCATTGATTTCATCGTTCATATTGATTTTGTCGATCTCAGGGATTTCAATAATATTGATGACCTCATGATTTTTTTCTTTCCAGCATCCTGTGACGTGGGTTACGCGATCTACTCCCGCTACGCGTCCTCGGATAGCCTTGTGGGGGGCCCATCGACAGTAGGCATGACCTCCGAGCTGCCAGTGTCGTACGTGGCGCACCTTACGGGGGCTTTGGCCGGACTCACTATCGGTCTCATCGTTCTCAAGAATTTCGAGCAAAAATTGCACGAACAGCTGTTGTGGTGGGTCGCGTTAGGCGTGTACGCGGCGTGCACCATTTTCGCGATACTCTTCAATGTCATGAACCCTGTGGAGGACCGCCCGCCTATGGAGGATCTCGGAGACGGAGTAGGAGGAAGGTGAGTTTGAAATACGGTTTTTATTTTTTTATCGTAATTCAGTTTTAATTTTGTGCTTGCTGTAGAACTTTCGCTAGTTTTTCGAATCACCCTATATTTGATAAAAACACCCCATTGTTTACTAATCAATGTTTCTTTTGTTTCAGATTCGTCTCTTTCGGAAAAATGGGTGTATAACCTCCGTAGATACCAGATTGTAGATAAAGAAGTGATGTTCCGTTTGTGATTTGTGAAACTTCATAAATGGTGAGATGTAACACCAAAAAATATAACACAAATCTTGCAAAACCCCACTATGAACCGACTTCAAATCACACATGCATGCCATATTCCCCTAAGATGCTGTATCAAACAAAGTACGGGTAAATAATATCCAACTGTATTTTTATTATCAGTTGGTTAAGCTGTGATTACACACTTTGTTTTGAAAGAGAATGCAAAATTCGTAAACGTAATACAGTGCTGGCCAAAGTCATTTCATGTGTACGAGACACAATGAAATCTGAAAGGGAAAACGACTTTGGCAAGTACTGTATAATATACTCAAGTCTCATTTCAATAATTTTCATACACAATACAGGAATGCTTAGGAGTGGAATATTTTCATTTTGTGCGGTTTTAACACATTGTATGTGATGTACGTAGGTCTACAGTTGTGAATAAGAAACATCCACATTTTTTATAAATGATCAAAGAATAGCCTTAAAAGACAAACCTATCTTCCACACGTATCAGAATTTTCTAGATGGCATTTTTCTGATTATAAATGTACTTCATTTTGGATTTTTCAAACATTAAAAACTGTAGATAGTTCTAAAATATATCAACCTATGGATAGGATCTTTGTAATACTTTTGAAAAAATTGTGTCTATTGTGCATTTTTGAATGTAAATAATGTACTGATTTTTTTGTATTTTTAAGCTCAATAATATTGTGGTTGATTTGTCATAGTCGCTGGAAATGTTAAATTACGTTCTTTTTTCTAGTTCATATTGTATATATCGTTTATTGTATATAATTTAATACTATTTATTTGATAATTTATACCAAAGACTGAAATAATAATTTCATATAATTTATTTGTTAGTTTATTGTAAGGAACTATTGTCAATTTATGTCATTTACAGTCGTATAAGTTATTTTCCACTCAAGTATTTGTTGTTATAAAATTTCATATGTCAAAGATTCAATTATAAATCAATATTGATTCCCAGAAAAGCATACAAAATTATGCAAACTATATTGTTTACAACTATAATCTTGATTTAATTGAATTGACAATAATTTCCCTTAAAAGAGTGAATGTTAATTTTTACTCGTATCTAAAAACTGCCTTTCCTGACACTTTCAGATTTTTCGAGAAAAGTATCTTGTATGTTCATCTGAAAGTGTTAAAGAGCAACCACCAGAATGATGTATTTATTTAATTCTTTCAAACAATTCCCCTCAATTATAACGGTTTGAAAGGATAGTTTGCTCCCGTTTTTTTCCATCAGAAACAGGGGAGGGTGTCTTAGAAGTTCGGCCTCCCCCTGAAATATCAGGGTTCAAAAAAGTGTTGAAGGGTTTTTTATTTTCAGACGCCCCTAGTGTTCATCAATTTTCAATCGCCATGAATGATTTCCTCCATTTCAAATTCATCATATGGACCCCTTCTCCCAAAGAAAACATTTTCTAGATCCGCCCCTGATGGAACATGGGAACTAGTGATGTGTAGTTTGCGAACGAACTACTTCAAACGAACGATTGTTATGACTGAACTAAGTGAACTACTTCTTCAAAACTCTTTCACTCATTAATCACGAACGACTGGTATTACAGAATCCTGATTATCCAAGCAAAGTGAACAAATGAAAACTAATCCGGGCAATATCTTCTTAACATTGATGGGAAAATATTATGGTTCGAATTTTTGCACAAGCTTATTCAAAAAAAAATCAACGAATCTGCCAGGCCCAAATTTGGGTCAATTTTTTTCTAAACATAATTTTTTTTTCGCTCGTGTCAAAATTCATTAAAAGGCCCCCTTTTTGAATCAGAATATTTTCCCCATCAGATGCGAAGATATTGCCCTGACTGAATGAGAGAGAAGACAAGGCACCAGTGTAGGCAACCAAGTAAGCAGAAGGTTGTATAATTGGTTACCTGGATGCACTCCTGGTTAACAAGGATATTGAACCGAGTAGCAACAGTTAGTATTAAATACTGATAGCAGTGATCTGAGACGTTTGGTTAAACACAAAATATAGTATATTCAAAAAAAAATATAGCTAATGGAGAAATTAGAACAATACTAAAATAAAAATGTAAATTAACTACAAGATTCCATTTAAAAACATTGTTTTTTTTTTACTTTATCGGCTTTTAGGCACTTTCTTCAATCTGACAAGACTTGTCCAGCGCAAATATTAACAATCTCAAATAATCTGTCATAGACTTTTTATTTCTCATTTTAGAGATCGTCTATTTTCAGTATAAGCGGTTCGTTAAAATATATATCCAGTTCGTTAATCCCTGCTACCACTGGATTTTGAACCCCAGAAAGACGTTTTACCTCAAAGTCAAAATCGTTACAAAGGTCTGGGTCTGTTTTCTTCTTCTTTACTCTTTACTCATGGCTTTCATCAGCGATACCAAAAAATAAGACCGTTCTTCCCGAATTAGGGAACCCACCCTAATCAAATTATTTATTAAAAATCTTCTTCTGAACTCCCGAAGCGGTTATCCATCCAGATACTAACGATCGGATAACTCGTTATATATGGTATCCTTCATAAAATAGTTCGTTCGCGAACTAGCCCGTTTTAGACCACCCATTGAGCTAGTTCACCAAAATGAACTAGAAAGCACATCACTAATGATCATGGCTAATTTCAGATTTTTCAGATCAGACTAATAAATGAATCTACATAGAGGCACTTATGTATATTTAGCATACTTTTGTGTACCATGTTTGCGAAGATAACTTGATAAAGTTGAAAGATTTCATGTCTTTCGTTTGGAAAAAGTACCTCTAAAATGGTTCACTTCTCATTTATGTAAACAAAAATTCCAGTCAGAATTCAAAATGCATTCCTTCAAAGACATGTTTTTCTTGAGGAAAGAAATGACGAGCAAAACTAATTTCTGAGTGATATTGTAACTAGTCATAAAATGTATAAAAATTAAACAAAGCCTACCAAAGAAAGTGCTAGTTAATACAATATTTACACAATAAATCAATATGCAGCGCCTTAATCTACTGGTAGATAGTTTACACACAAAGAAATTGTATTTTTTTACACTCAGGTAGATTATTACACTTGTATGTCAGAGAGGTATTTGATAATGTTCAAAGAATTTATGCCTTTTTTATTCCATTCTCCTTTGTTTTGTTATTGTTTATCATGTGGAATGCCTAAGTGATTAGTGAAAATAGTTTAAAAAGAATAATAAAAGTTATTTGAGAAGTACATCTATGTTTTTAATTCACTTTATCCATTTTATTCCATAGTGAAGACGAATAATGGGAATTTTTAAAAATATTTTGAGAATTCCACATCTCGCCACTGTGACGTCAGACTTTCGTGCAAGTCTCGGCAACCAATCGCACAGCATTGTAGTGCCGGGGTATAAATATTGATTCTGAGTGATTTTAATTTCCTGAATAGTAGAACAAAATAAAAGGAAATCTTGCACTGCAATTCATCACTCATCAAATATACACTGAGAACCAAATTTCTCTTTCTGAAGTTCATTGTGTACGACAGAGAAGTGTGTATAGACACATATGTTAAAAAGAGATACATGCCAGCTGGATAGCAAAACTCATCACCGCATTGTCTAGCAACGCTGACGTGAAAGGCCGTGGCAATCTGTCGCGTTGCCAATATGTTACACCAGTTCCTTGAATTAAGATGCATATTGAAAATATGCGATAGTTTATTCTTTACGTCCAAATAATGGTTGCATTTCTCAAAAATAAATTAAAACACTAAGCCGCATCAAACTTAAAATAAACAATTCTAATCAAAATGAAAACAAAATATTAAATTCGAACAGACCTCCTTGGGTTTGACAGTAACCTAACCCATTATAGTAGCCTGTGCGAACATTTTCTGTTGTAACATATTGGCAACGCGGCAGATTGCACGATGTTCTGCTTCACCATCGCTAGGCAATGTGCTGATGATATTCGCTCTTTGGCGGGCTTCTATCCAACGTGTGTTGATACACGCATCTCTCTCGTACACATTGATCTGAAGCCATCAAACAAATTATAATCAAATCCAAGCGAATAACCAAAATTTTTGTGTTATGTGCCGCGGTTATAATATGGTTCAAGATGACACACGGGTTGATGACGTCAGATACACGAATCGCTTGAACGCGTTGGTTTTAACCGCGGTTTTGTTGCAAGTTGTTTATTTTAGAAAAGCGCGTATATAATCTCTGATTATTTTTATTATCACTTAATAATCGGTGCTTTTTCGTCTACAACTGTATATGGAAAGTTTAAATAAGAAACCTTCTATAATATTCATGGGAGAAATGTTTTTTCAGATTTTTTTTTAATGATGGAACCATGGCTTTGTAGCTATGATAACTTTCAATTCTCTAAAATTTTCCGCATGTCAAAGAAAACATTTATTGATTCAGCAGAAATGATGAAAAAAGAAATTAGCAAAACCGTATACAGGTGGATATCATCTAGTGAGTTTATATGGCCATATTTTAATATTCTTGTGGTATATGGCTACACAGGATACTTTGTTAAGCATTGGAACTACATTTAAAGTGTCCCCAACAACCATAATGAGTATAACTAATAAGGTGCTCCACTTTATGGTAAAACTGAAGTCAGCCTGTATCATTTTTCTCAATAATGAAGCTGAAGTACAATAACAATATCCAATACCCGGCAAAATTCTAACTTGTCACATTTCAAATAATAACCAGAAAATATAAAACTACTCTTGAGTTGGGTAAATACCACAATTTTGCGGTGATAACTATGACATATAACAGCTGATTCGTGACGTCACGGATCTTATAACCAAACTGATAACTACACTCGCTTGAACGGATCGGTAAATACCAACCCAAAATGGTAAATACCATTTCCATTTGGTTATCCGCTTGAATTTGATTTATGTTTTCCCTGTTAACTGCAGTAGGTTGTTGTAACAAATAACATAAGCGATATCAAATGGTGACCAAAAAAATACCAGCTACAATATAGTCTACACCTTTGCAACTACTTGATTGCCGCTTGACACCAGATAGATGGTAACACAAATTTCTACCATAGATAAATGTATCAATAAGCTTTATAGTCTGAAGAATAACATGTCTCGTATGTAAAAATAAAGAGTTTCTCGTCTCCCGCATTTCTCCATCAGAAGATGAGATACATTTCGTAAGCCTCGTATTATTATATGTCTATAAGGAATAAGGAAGGAACAAATGTCACTTCAAGTCAGCGCTTCTGTCGGTGGCGCCATCTCGTTTTCTACTGATAAAACTGGTAGATTGATGTGCGTTAGATTTAGCTTTGAGTTAAAATCTATTTTTCGAGTGTTGAAAATGTACAATAGCATAGACTCAAAAATGGGGGTTTAATATTTAATTGGCGCCGCCAGGCATGCGCTGGCCTGAACGTCCGATATTCCAATAACATAACCTCAATTTCTCCAATAATTGAGTAATGTCAAAATATGGTAAGAACGTAAAGGATACGTGAAACTTACGCCTCTTTCACCGATGATAATGAACATACTACTCAAAAACAGCTAGTGAAACTCCACCAAACCATAGACATGATAAGAAGAATCCTGAACAGTATCGTGGAATCTGCCTCACAACCCATCGAGCCTACAATTTTTCCCCATCCATTCACGAAGCCAGAAACTGTGCCTTTTTCGTGGCTGACAACAAGAGCACCATGCTTCCCCATAAAGGCAGACAACGTTACTATCCTTACAAAACCTGAACAGTTTTATAACATTCTTCTAAAGCACTGTCAGTATGCCAAAGATCGAGTAACACTTGCTAGTCTCTATATTGGAAATGGAGACCTAGAGAAGAAACTCGTGGGTACATTGAAGTCAAATAAAGAGTTCTTAGCAAATAAATTAAAAATAAACATTCTTCTAGGTAAGATTTTCTGATTTTTTAATACATACACTTACTGATCTTTTATTCTGGAGCCACATACATTCATTTATAAACTTCCCACCACAGATTTATTGAGTAATAGCTTGTTTGAGAGGTCTTTCAAAGTCCTTTATTTTGACGTTTGATTTATTCAAATCAGTCAATTCCTAGACAAATTAAGAAATAAAAATTTTTTAATTTTCTTTAAAACAAATCAACCGATTTTAAAAAATCAAATAGCAAAATAAAGGACTCTGAAAGACCTTTGAAACAAGATATTACTCGATACCCCTTGTCATTAAATTTTTTCAATGGGATGACCCTGGGGGGCAGAGGATGAAAGGGGTGAAGTAGTTTTTGGTTGAAAAGTTGTCCCCCTTGACAAATCTTTTGATGTGTCTCTGGGTTTTTTCTATTAATCAGTGGGTTTCAATAAATCCATGGTGGGAAGTTTTTTAAATGTATATGTTTAAAACTTCTCTTTATGATACCACATTTCAGTCCGATAGTGATAATAGAATTGTACTTCAAAAGGTCACCATTGGGACTAAAATGTCTTAAAATAAAGAGGAATTTTAAAGATATATGTGGTTTGATCCTGTCAGATAAACATAAGGGATTGATTATAAGCTAATTTAGGTTTCATAGGGAATATAAATATTCCACAACACCACAAAATTCAGAGAACTATTATGTCAGGTAATTTGAATACTTTTTTTTCCCTAGATTACACAAGAGGTAGCAGATATGAAAATAACTCAAGAACCATATTGTTGCCACTAGTTCAACAAAGTAATAACTGTACAGTTTCTTTATACCATACTCCAGTTTTGAGAGGGATTTTGAAAAGATATACACCAGACAGATGGAATGAACTATATGGATTACAGCATATGAAATTATACATTTTTGATGATACTCTCATCATCAGTGGTGCAAATTTGTCAAATGATTATTTTACAAATAGACAAGATAGGTATGTTAAAGTAACTGCTTTGTACATATTTTTCTGTAATCTTAAATCTGACTAGGATACATCAAAACTCATTTTCAGATGTTAGAGACAGTTGTGTTCAACATAAATAATTTTTTTGTATATTAATTTTTTCAGAAAAGTTTTGCATAACATTAAGAACTTTAAATACAAAAAACATCTTTCAGATATATAGTCATCAAAGACAAAAGACTGAGTGATTTTTACTGTGGGCTAGTAAATAGGGTACAAAAATTCAGCTTAAAAATGAACAAAGACAACCACTTGAGTCTTGACAGTGATTGGAAGATATTGCCATATCAAGGGAATAAGTTTGAATTTATAGAAAAATCTGCAGACATTATTGAACAATATATGGTTGAAAATATTCAAGAAAATGCTCATAAAGAAGAAGGCTTTGGTATGCAACTTTATGTACATAAAAATCTCAAGCTCATCAATCATATTTTAATTCTAAACATGTTTTTTATCATATTTAGATACATGGATGTTTCCAATGGTGCAAATGGGACAGTTAGGAATTGAGCAAGATGCACAAATCACAGACAAAATTTTAGCTGATACCCCTCCAAATAGCAGGTTGAAAATTGCAACTGGATATTTCAACTTAACTAACCAGTTCACAAATACCATAATAAGAAAAAGTAAAGCCCAATGTGATATATTGATGGCACATCCAAAGGTCAGTTCAATCTTTTGACATTCTTTTTTCAAACTAAATTTTCCTCCACATTTTAGGCAAATGGATTTTTTGGTGCTCAAGGTGTAGCAGGTGGAATACCATATGCCTACTCACTAATAGCAAGAACATTCAAAGAAAATTGCAAAAAAGCAGGGCAAGAGCAAAGGGTAAAGCTCTTTGAATACTTCAGGGAAGGTTGGACTTACCATGGCAAAGGATTATGGTAAATCATTTTACTGATGAACAACTTCGTGCTTATTTAAAGGTCATCAGTATACAATTAAAAAGGGAGTATATTCCTTCTTAATACTCTCCCTTTCCTTGTTTTCTCCCTTGTTTTTGGTTGTGTATATTAGGATACTCCTATTCCTAACGAAATCTTGTTGACTTTGGTACCTAGCAAACTAGACCCATATTAGACTTCAGCAGTGCAAATATTTTATACAATGGCATGTGTTAGCTGAACCATAACTATTTTATGATTTATATATATTTTTAGGTATTATCCACCAAACCAAGACACCCCATGTGTATCGCTGATAGGTTCTCCAAACTTCGGAGAAAGATCAGTGAAAAAAGACCTGGAATCACAGATGGTAATCATCACAGAAAATGAAACTTTGAGAGACCTACTTCATGAAGAATGTCGTCAATTGTTCCAGCAAGGTTTACCTGCTGACACTAATAGAAAAGGCCCCCTATGGGTTCATACGTTCGTCTTACTGTTTAAGAGTTATTTTTGAAGGCTATGAGCAATCTTTGTCTACCTCACAATAAGCATGTAGTTTCATTTTTTATGCTGTAAAATGTCAAGTATTACTCTAAGCGTAATAAGATACTTATTTTTTATTATTGCTTCTGCATGCTTGTACTAGGGCGGTCCGATAAGTAATTAGCCTCGGGGCCAAATCTGGAGAATACAGTGGATGGAGCAGCAGTTCCTAGCCAAATTCGACCATTTGGCCGTGACGACGGCGGAGGTGTGAACCGGATTATCATGGTGGAAATGCATTTTTTTCTTCGCCAAATGGGTCCGTTTTTTTTTTTAGGAATCGGCTCAATAATATGGCATAGTAGAGCCCTGTGATCGTTTTGGCCTTCTCCAGATAGTTGATGTACACACACACCTTATGAATCCCAGAAAATGGTGGCGATCACCTTTCCGGCCGATAGGACAAGCGCAACCGCTCTGGTCAGCCAACGCAGTTTTCTCATACCCAATATTTCATGCAGCTATCTCGCGCACCTTCAATCGGCGGTCTGCCAATACGAGATCATGGATTTTAGTCACGTTATCCTCCGTGTTAGCCGTTTTCGGGACAACTGCGCGTGGCTCATCAAAAACTGACGTGCGACCACTTTGTATTCGTTAAACCTATTTTTTACGGTCGCCATCGAAGGTAAAGAATCACCGTACACAGCATCAAAGTCCAAGCGCTCCAATTTCCCTTTCAGAAACAATCGATATTCTTTTCCATTTTTCTAAAATTCGCGGACACGCAAGTTTCAAGCGCGGTCAAAACCACAAGAGTTCAATTCGGCTGAAATTTTAACAGTATCCGTCTACAGTATATTCAGATAAGAGATAGACCGGACATAAACAAGACCACGTGATCATCGAACGCTGTAACATTTGGCAGGGACGTATTAAGAGTCACGCAGTACATATTTTAGATAGTAGATGCTGCTTTGCGTAACTTTGTAGTAAATTAGCACAATTGTGCATACGATTGGTGATGGATATAGGATCATGTGGGGGTGGGGTAAGAAATATATAATGATGTAAATATACATAAGGGTTTCAAAATTTTCGCTTCGATTTCCAGCTTCGGATGCCGCCTGATGTTTGGTGAAATACAGTCGAATATAATCTCAAAATGGCGTTTAAATTAGCCTAAATTAAAAATAATCGTATATCTCTTAAAATTGCTTTTAGAATATTGATTAGTATATTTTTTGATTTCTAGGTAAATATGTAACCAAATTAAAACGTTCAAAACGTAAAAAAATGTGCATGGTTGAACATTGTCAGAAAGTAGATTCTTGAATAGGTTTTGCCAAAATGGGTTCAAAAATGTCAATAATTAATTAAAAAATACAGTAGCTTTATAATTACTTATAACTTACCGAATTTGATGAACGACATCTTTTATTGGAAAGATGAGCTTTCATCATCGCTACTGCCTGAAGCACCAACGTCAATAATGAATGGCTCGAGTTGTTCTTCTAAAATATTGTCCAGTTCCCACATTCTCTTTTCAACTTTGTCTTTCACGTGCTTAATACAGTTTTCCCATTTTTGCGCTGTTATTAATTCTAGTGCTTCTTTGAAAAGTCCTTTGAGGTCACAAAATTTAAAAGTTGTATTGTGCTTAGCTATATAATTTTTAACCTCTGCCCATATGAGCTCAATGGGATTGAGCTGCAATGGTATGGAGGTAAACGGAGCACAGTTATATTTTGACTTGCTGCCATTTCGTCAATGGCGTATTTTTGATATTCCGCCTTGTGATCCTTGACAATTCTTAATAATTGTACTTTCAGCATTGCTTCTTCAAAGTTGATATTTTTCGAGCGGAGCCAATTTTGAACATCAACTTTCCTTGAAGCCGTTGTTGGGACCTTCTCCATTCTTCGAGAATGATAAGGCGCATTATCCAGCACAATTACTGCGTTTTCCTCTAAGTTCGGTAAAATTTTTGAAAACCACTGTTCAAACGATTCGCCATTCATTTACTCGTGGTAATCTCCAGTTTTCTTAAGACTCAAAGCACCACAGACCGTCAACAACAAATCCATCCTCACTGCCAATATGGCAGATAATGAGCCTTTTCCCTTTACCTGGAAATCGAAGTACTAACTGGTGTAGATTTATTTCAATAAGCGAACCTTTTTCAAATGTTTTCATCACATTCAGCGAAAAAACATTGAGACATGAGTATCAGATTGCTATAATTGGGATTATTTAGTTATATTGAAAGAAAGAATATTGAACGTCGTATGATTACTCAGCGCTTCACAATTTAATTTAAAGTTATAAACCTTTAAAAAGTGAATGATCAGGAACCTGAAATACGCGCAACTATTAATATTAACAAATTATAACTTTATAAAGCTCAAAGTATGAATTAAAATGATTAGAAATATTAGGAACGGTACACAATATAAAACTTAGTAACTTTTTTTAAGTTTATAATATTCGACATATTTTAAGATCATATTAAAAAATTATTGAAATATCGAAAACACATAAAAACATGGCTTAAAAAAGTTCTAACAAATGAAAATGACAATAAAACATCCACGCATTTTATCGAAAGCTACAAAAGTTTTGTTACTTGTAATATGTTTTATCTGCCCCCTGGAATTAATGTTTAGAACCTTGTTCCCAAGGTTTGAAAAACATCCGATTGTTATCTATTACTCGTATTTACCTGCTGGATTTTTTAATCCGGTGGACAGTCCATCTAGAAAGGCCCTCCTGGATGAAGTTACAGAATCATCAACCCATACTTTACTTGTAGTGTGTCCTGCGTTTACCCACGTTTCATCAAGGTAATAAATCTTCCTGTTTTGATTTCTATATTTCCCAATTTTTGTTAAATAATCCCTCCTCCATAGCACAATTTCTTCTCTATCCAGTAGTAAACTATTACGACCCCGTTTTTTCCATTTGAAATTTAAATGCTTCAGTAACGCATGGAAAGTTGATCGTTTGAAATTTGGCAACGTTGTATCTCCATTTACCTCCCGCAGTACTTTATCTATAGTAGGTATTTCATTCCTAAAGAATTCATGCACTTTCCTCCTAATCGCATGCTTATCAGCTTCATCCAATGATTTAACAATACTTTTGCGATGTTTACTGGTCATTGGCTCAGAAAAGGTGTGATTTTTTTTGTATTGTCTTAACACATTAAACACTGATGCGCGACACACCCCAACTTTGTGAGAAACCTTCACAACAATTTCTTTGATGGTTGATGCCTCGTTCTCCTCGCGCTCGATCTTATACAGGGTGTTCCATAATTATTGCGACAAAATGATAGGGGTTGTAGAGGGCATAAAAATATGCAATTTTGCCTTATAAACCCCTGTTCGTAAATATGCCGTTTGAGCACTACAGTTAATTTTACCTTAAGAGCTCATAGGAGAAACAAAAAATTCACCAGCTGCAAAATGTTCGTCTAGCACATTTCATGGTCTCGCCGGTTTGTAGAAAAAGCCTGCTGTGTTTACATTTTTGTTATCGTACACCCGTACCACCTTTTAAAAGTCCAAGCCATGGGTCCAGCAGACTATCTGCCGCGTCGACGTTTTTGTCGTTGGTGGCTGCAGCAGGAGTTGAGGCAACCAAACTTTGGTCGCTACGTTTTGTTCACTGACGAGTCCTGTTTTACAAAGGACGGTTATTTTAATAGCCGTAACAGTCACATTTGGGATGAAGAAAACCCTCATGCCATAGCCATCCATAGAGACCAACATCAGTTTTCAATTAACATCTGGTGCGGCATTGTGGACGAGCATATCATCGGGCCATATCTGCTTCCACCACGTTTGGATGGGCATGCTTATGGTCGATCCTTACAGCATGTGCTACCGGAACTATTAGAAAATGTGCCACTGAATATAAGAGCCAACATGTGGTTTCAACACCATGGCGGTCCAGCCCACTTTTCTTTACAAGTGCGGCAGTATTTGGACGACAAATTTCCAAATAGGTGGATAGGCCGAGGTGGCCCTGTGCCTTGGCCTGCGCGGTCACTTGATCTGACTCCACTGGATTATTTTATCTGGAGCTATCTGAAAGCTTTAGTGTACGAAACTCCTGTTCCCAACCAACAAGAGCTACTGGGAAGAGTGATGGCCGCGTCCGCACATGTTCAGGACATACCGGGGGTATGCCACAGAGTTCGCCGATCATTGAACAATCGTGCACAGGTGTGTATTGAGCAAGGTGGAGGACACTTTGAGCAATTACTGTAGGTAAGCTGTTTCAAGAAACTGATCTTTTTTTTTGCTGCAGCCCAAACGGCATGTTTCCGAACAGGGGTTTATAAGGAAAAATTGTTCATTTTGATGCCCTCTACAACCCCTATCATTTTGTCGCAATAATTATGGAACACCCTGTATATATTCAAAATGACCTCTTTCATTTCTGCACTCAGGTGTCTTTTTTTAGAGCGTTTCCTAGGTGGACTACAGGAGTTTACAACTTCATCGGCAGTATCTGTACTACTGGGCATTTTGCGCAAGCAGTTGATAACAATAACAACGACAAACTCAACAACTTAATAAGATAACAAACGAAAACGTCCAAAGAAATATCAAATTGCAACGATGCACACGACATACGTAACACGTCTGAACCTGAATGTGACTCTGCCTTGATACGACTGCTCTGCCGCTCGGCATAGGCATTTAATTGCGAATTGACCAATGAGGGCTCCCGTTTTACGTCGAGACGGCGGCGTTAGCGTGAAAATCACCCGAACCTTTTGTTTACATCCGGTCTATCTCTTATCTGAATATACTGTATTAGAATGTACTACACGATAGTGGCGGTGAAGTCAAGTACTTATCCGACCTCCCTCGTAAATGGAGCTTATGCCCATTATTTTTGTCATACTTTCCACCTGTATTAAACATGAAATGTTTATAAAACTATGAAACCGTGTCAGTACTTTTTTAATATACATCTTGACTTATTTGCTTCCAAATTACCAAGCCCAAAAAATATTTAGAATTGCCGTTTCCAAAATCGTGCAGTGACGATGCAACGTTGAAACTCCATATTCCAGAATTCACACGTTTTTGTCAGAACCTATGGAAATTGTGCGTAACGTTATGTGGGAATGATTGCAAGTATAAAAAAATCTGGCTTTTTGTCAATTTATATTACCATAAATATGTAAAAACATTGCAGCTTAATCTTCTTCTTCTTCTGCGGCACCTCCTCCACTCTTCTTGGCCATGTTCTTCCTCTTAACACGGCCTGGCCTGCCACCACCAAATGGTGACTTCAAAGAGAAGTCAATGTGTTTCTGGGAGTCCAACCTCACGACGAATGAAGGGACATTCACCACCTGCTTGCGAACACTGAAAAAGTTCAAATTCTTTATCAACTCACTCTTAAATTGCAAATTCAGTTTTCACTCTCGCTAAAACGTCCCCTTTTCTCAATTTTGGAAAAAGTTCATATGAATGGAGAATTGTTGCCTTGCAAGTACCCAAACAAATCATCAAGTGACCCGTTCGGGGTATAAGAGCTGGAATCTTTCCTTTACGAGTACTTTTAGCACTGTCCTGAACATCAAGCTTTTCAATCAGTGACTCTAAGACTCGACAATCCCAAAATTAACTTCAAATTCATGTTCGACAAGCTTGGAAAGGACACTGCAATAAAAATATAACAACCACAGTTAACTAAAAGCCAGATGTAACTATAGTCGACAGCTACAAGCTAAATAGCTATGTCAGATGCTGCAGTTAGCTAAAATTATCAGTTATAATTAGCTAGAACATAATTCTGGCTGTTTGTAAATTGTAACTGGCAATTATAGCTAAATGTAGATTGTAAGGTAACTAACTGCAACATAATTCAAATGATTATAGCTGAAAATTGAGCTAATAGCACCTTATAACAGACAATAACTAATTCAACTGATTACAGCTTATTAAAACAATATTATAGCTAAGTGCAACATGTAATTGACAAATTTTGCATAAATGGCAAAATATAAATAAAATGCATACTTTTTTCGCGATGCCCTTTCAACGCTTATGTAACATTTTGATAACCATGAAGTCTTCAATTCATCTAACATTAATTTTCAAACGTTTTTCAAGGTTGAGCATAAGCATACACATAAACCTTTCTATAACCTTTTACCTTGATCCTCCTGGCTAGAATCTCAGATAAAATTTCGAGGCGTTAACCAAGCACGCTTGGCTAAGTGGCACTCATGAAATTGACCATTTAGGTCATATCAAACAGCAAATCAGCCAACTGAAACTGACATGGACATTACCGAATGTGTCGCTGCCTGATCAAGACCCTAGCATGATGGATGGATTTCGCCAGCCCAGATTTGAAAACCTGCGTTTGCAGACGACGTTCCAAGAAATCTTCGATCTTCAAACCCAGCACGTAATCGAGCTTCATGCGATTTTCGTCTAGCACGCCGATTCGGACTAATCTACGAAGGAGGGCGTTACCTAGAATCAAATGAACAGTCAAATTTTAGATTAAAACAATTTAAGAATGTGATTGGAACTTATAGTATTTTGGGGTTTATTGAAGATTTGGTCAACAATTAACGATTTATACTTGAAGATGGCCTACTGCATTCTGGCATCCACAATGAAAATCGAAAGATATGATGTTTGTACATTAAGTTGAGACTGGCAGCATAGCGTTCAATCTGGCAACACTGGAGGCATCCCGATTGGAGAGGAGTCAGGGGACCATGTACCTTCAGTACAAGTTTGAACTCACTCAAGCCATTTGGGTGTCTGTAGCTATTTTTTTTTTGTGAAACATCAATTTTTTGTCCAAACAATTCATTGTAACTACTATGTTATATATATATATATATATATATATATATATATATATATATATATGTTGTGTTAGTATGATATCTACATACAAGGATATTTTCCTTTTGTGGGATATCAATTTATTCACAATTTGTAATTGATGTGAATAAATTATTATTTCGGGTAATGGCGTGCTATCAGGTTTTGCTTCAGACATGGGCACAGTGCAATGGAAACTCTTACTAAACTTCAACATGCTTATGGAGATAGTGTTATGTCAATAGCCCCGATTTTTTGGTGGTTTAAGACATTTTAAGAAAGGAGAAAGTCAATTGAAGATGAACCACGAAGCAGAAGGACTTCATCATCAAGAACCCATGAAAATATTGACAGAATCCAAGATCTTGTGGGTTCAGATAGTCAGTTGACAGTCAGAATGAGCAAGAGTTAAATTTGCTTCCACCATTCATCAGATCAAGAACTTGGTTTGCATCACAATAATGCTCCTTGTCACACAGCAATGTTGATAAATGAGTTTTGGACCAGTAAAAATCTCCTCAGTATTTACCTGACCTGAGTCCTTGCAACTTTTTCCTCTTCCAAAATTTAAAAAATCACCTCCAGGACAGACCTTGCACTTATGCCATCTATGAGACAATAGCAAAACCTACCACTCTTTTCAAAATATATATCCAAATTCATTCCTACTACTGTCTCATACATGGTGCTAGTATCTTCCAGATTCCATGTGGAATGAAGCATGCAAGTAGAATATGCGAGTAATTTTAGTCAAATGATTTTTGATCTTTCAGAATTTCTACTCCATATCTATGCTGCTTGTGCAGCCATATTGAAAAATATATCTTTTTTTGTCTGCCAGCAAAACACAAATAACACTTAATAGCAAAGAAACAAATTAGAACATGGCAAAAAAACCTGAATATTGTGGGGCCAAAAATAAGTTGTCTGGGAGCCCTACAGCCTCTAGTGTTAAATTAACATCAGATTTTGAATCCACACACTCAATTTAGCCAAAATATAATTATATAAATTTTCTATGATATGTGAATGTAAGAAAAAATTTCCATTTACCTTTCCCATTGTTACTAGTGAATGCAATGATGTATAATGTAATTTGAGCTGCTGAATGTCGATATGATGTCAAAGTCTTGCAGAGTCAAATTTGAGGTAAAAAATGCATCACTTAGGAACCCCTATAGCTCCTGATAACAAATAAATTTGGAATCTACATTCACATGATTTACCAACAGAATTGACTATTGAACCAGATCAAGGATATGCAAATATTTTTGAAAATTTCATTATAAGAAACCTCAAAACATGGAAATAACTTGGGGCACTCGTAAGAAATGTCATCAAAGACTTGTAAAGTCTTGTGGGATCAATTTTAGGAGAAATTGAATCACTTAGCACAACCTGTAGATTATAACAAAAATTTGATATGACGTTCAAAATTTACCAAGCCTATTTTCTCATAATATAGATTTTCATCCAGATCACATGTATACATAGTATTTTAAATATACTAGGAAAAAAAGTTTTTTCTCCACCAAATGATTAGTTGATCAAGGTAATTGTACTATAAAACACTAGATATATAATGTTGTATCCTCAACTTTCGGCACAGACAAAATCATTGACCAGACATTGCCTGTTTCCTAGCGGGACTTTTGTTTGTTATTCCCCTATTTAGAATAAATTCTGGCACTCTTTATAGACAATATGATCTATAAGAGCGTGGCGGAGGGGTTATTAAAATAAATATGGTTGTGAATTGTATACAAACCTTCAAATAATCTCTTTGGATCTTTTTCTTCCAATGTAAGCAGCTCACGAGCTGCCTTACGGATCTTGGCTAATATTAACTTCACTCTCCATACTTCTCGCTTATTCCTCAGGCCAAAGGCTCCGACGATTTTCAATTCTTGGTCCAAACGCGCCTTTTCATAAGGACGTCGGGGGGTGACGTATGTCTTCGAGTGAACCGAAGGAATCCTCCCGTTCACCATTGTGGCGAGTCACTGCAAGAATTGTGAAATGTTACATTGAATTACATCCCAAATGCATCAACCACGTGTATTCTCTTTTTGTGACTTGTAACCTTGCCATGAATCGGATATGTAATAAGTTACATTCCGGGATTAAACACGGTACTAATATCGCCTCGAAAGATTAGGATACCTTGGGATGGTGCCCCAAAGCCCTTGCCCAAATTACAAGGCATAACCTCAAATATGACTAAATATCCATCTTGATTTTAGTAATCACGTATTATATCGAAATTCCAAATTTGCACTCATGCATAGACTTATTTCAAGTATTGATGTTAATTAGTATTTTTTGAAAAAACTATTGTAAAAAAAAACGAAAATGCAACACTTACATCACCCGCTTCTAACCAAGTTCACTTCAAAAAGAAATGGAGGAAATGGGGAGATGGAATTGTTAGCTGACAAGCAGACGTAAATATGAATTGACGAAGGGTGGGGGAAAGGAAAGATCGAATAGTACTACATAGAGATGTTCGATACGATGCGATATTTAGAAGTATCGATACTTTTGCTTCCGATACCCAATATCTTGGATCGATATTTTTATAGACGGTGTTAGGCAAATAATATTCGTAACTTTAAAAGGTGATTCCTTGTATTATTCTAAGCAAAAAAGTTTATTATAACTTATGTCCGAAAATCAATCGTTGTCGAGGAAATTGAGTCGTAAATAATTAAATCTTCTCAAACATTTGGCAACGCTGCCAACGCAACCGCGATACGAGCGCACGACGACCGCAACTGATTCATCGAATTGTTTACGTTTGTATGATATTTTTGTTGAAAGTATGCCTTGAATTATTAAATACGACTTATTTTAGCTAATATTTTTTATTTAATAACGCTTTCACTAACCGGTACGTGGCGATACACACCAATTCCCACGTTTATTATATTTGAAACGATGCGATGCACGAAAAAAGAAAAAAAAAAACAACATCCGTAAATCAGATGAAGTTACAGTTAAATGTATTGGTGGCGCTGGTATTGGTAATCTCAACACGCGATGACACATGCAGTGCAGGCGGAATACGACGTTGCCAGTTGTGTGAGGGATTTTGTTTGTCTGTTTTTCTTCGGAAGATTGTATTTAATAAGCAAGAAAATAATTTTCTTATAGACAATTAATAAATAGATATATAGATACATTTTACGCTATTAGGCATATGAATTTAAATCATTAAGGTGCAAAATTAATTTATTTCATGACTAAAAAGAAATAAGTTCGCTGTGCTCCGAAACGGTTGATTTTCGGACATAGGTTATAATGAACTTTTTTGCTTAGAATAATGCAAGGAATCACCTCTTAAAGTTACGAATATTATTTCCCTAACACCCTGTATACGATACTTGGTGGTGTCGATACATTTCACGAGTATCGTTATCGTTAGATCCTGACCAGATTACTTTTCTTCATTGTTTCCTTCCGCTGGTGCTACTCACTTTAGGAGATTTTTATTTCAGTGGGGAAGCTTTTGGGGATATTTTTTTCTGGGGAAACATTTTATTGGGGAGGTATTATGTAAAATTTTATTCATTTCAATAGGTACATAATGTACTTGTTATGTATTTATTTGTCTTTCGATTCCAAACAAATACTACCTTTTGTGGTATTTAGCGACATACGAAATATTAGATCCAAGAATACCTAACAAATCGTAAACCTATGGTAAAACAAAAAATAACTGGTATTATTTGGGGATTTTTTTGAAAATACCTGAATTTGGGGAATTTTTACATTTCGACTGGGGAAACTGAGCTAAACAACCTGGCAACCCTGTTGGATTCGGTTCCGAGTTCCGAGGAATTACCAAGGAATTACACACACATGACACACAGTGTTTTTAGTATTGATTGAACAGCCGGTGTACCCTCTAAAAACTCTTTCATCGTTGTACTGGGGGTTGGGGAACTTACATTCGACTTACTCCGCCGAAAACAGAAGAGTTTCATAGCTAATTGTTATTTTGTAAAATCGAGTTTAGGTGGAAGATACATTATGCAATTGTGAGTTTTTTACCGATTTTTATTAGTGTATTTAAGAATCGGGTCATGCAGTTGAAAAAAGTAAACATTTTGAAGGTTGTGGAAAATACTTTTTTTTATTCCGATATTTTAGAGTATCGATACTTCCTAAAAAGATATGAATCGATCCTTTTCGTGGATCGGAACATCCCTGTACCACACCAAGATTGAATATTTTGAGCCCATCTCTATTCCTGTATTAACAGGTGACAGTCAATAATCAAATCCAAGCGAATAACCAAAATTTCTGTGTTATGTGCCGCGGTTATAATATGGTTGAAGATGACACACGGGTTGATGACGTCAGTTACACGAATCGCTTGAACGCGTTGGTTTTAACCGCGGTTTTGTTGCTAGTTGTTTATTTTAGAAAAGCCCGTATATAATCTCTTTTTATTTTTATTATAACTTAATAATCGATGCTTTTTCGTCTACAACTGTGTATGGAAAGTTTAAATAAGAAACCTTTCATAATATTCATGGGAGAAATGTTTTTTTCAGATTTTTTTTTTAATGATGGAACCATGGCTTTGTAGCTATGATAACTTTCAATTCTCTAAATTTTTCCGCATGTCAAAGAAAACATTTATTGATTCAGCAGAAATGATGAAAAAAGAAATTAGCAAAACCGTATACAGGTGGATATCATCTAGTGAGTTTATATGGCTATATTTTAATATTCTTGTGGTATATGGCTACACATGATACTTTGTAAAGCATATGAACTACATTTAAAGTGTCCCCAACAACCGTAATGAGTATAACTAATAAGGAGCTCCACTTTACGGTAAAACTGAAGTCAGCCTCTATCAATTTTCTCAAAAATGAAGCTGAAGTACAATAACAATATCCAATACCCGGCAAAATTCTAACTTGTCACATTTCAAACAATAACCAGAAATATAAAATTACTCTTGAGTTGGGTAAATACTACAATTTTGCGGTGATAACTATGACGTGTTACAGCTGATTCGTGACGTCACGGATCTTATAACCAAACTGATAACTACACTCGCTTGAACGGATCGGTAAATACCAACCCAAAATGGTAAATACCATTTCCATTTGGTTATCCGCTTGAATTTGATTTAAGTGTCTAATTGATCGTGGTTTTCAAGATGGCGGAACGAAACACCTTCTTTCCTAGTGGGTACGCCTCTTTAGCAAATCAACATGCCTCATTTCGTATTGGAACATCTTGGATCAATTTATAACCTTAAAATTGTGAATAACCTAAAAAGCAAAAAATGCTGTGGTATTTTAAAAGCCACAAGAGCTTTAAGAAAATTGTTACAATTAGAAAATAACATAGAAATATTCATAAGGTAAGAAACGTGTCGACACATTTTTTCCTGAAGTTCCAAAATGAGTGATAGTGAAGACTTTGAAGTTTCCGAGGACGAAATCGAAGAAAACAAACATGATAGGCTGGTACAGGACGTTTTGAATTTGAACAAAGTGCAGAATGTGAAAAAGCCATCCCGCACAGAACCTACTTTGAAAATATCAGAGTTCAACTTAGTGAAATCAGTTACAGGAAACAGAGGTACTATCCACCTAAATGAACTCACTAAGGCCCTTGCGGGCCGTAAAAAACATGAGACCATAGCTCAAAGGGTTGAAACGACAAGCAAGAAAGGTAAAACCCTGCCTAAGCCTTTGGAAAAGCCACAAGCGGAGCGGATAAGGAGAACGTTGAACTATGAGAAAACGCGGTTACAACTAGATAGATGGGAAGCCTTTGTAGCTTCAAATCGAGCAGCCGCTCAGCAAGTGTTCCCTTTGGAGTGTATTGAGAAAGTGAAATTTGAGGAAAAGAAAGCTGAAAAGTTTCCCACAACGTTCAGAATCAAGACCGATTTGCAGAAAAAATTAGAACTGCTGGATCCAAAAGTTGAGGAATACCACATCAACACTGAGGAGAAAGATGAGTATCCTTTGACTCTACAGGAATTGAAAGAAAAGAGAAAAGAGGCTGCAAAGCTTAGGGCTCATCAGAGTTTCCAAGAAGCTAAGGCTAGGAGGCAAAATAAAATTAAAAGCAAAAAGTATCACAGGATATTGCGTAGGGAGAAAATTAAGCAGAAGCTAAAAGAATTTGAAGAGTTGCAGAAGACGAACCCTGAGGAAGCTATGAAAAAACTAGAAGATATTGACAAAGCTAGAGCAGAAGAAAGATTCAGTTTGAGGCACAAAAACACTGGTCAGTGGGCTAGAAGCAAATTAGTAAGAGCTAAATATGATAAAGAGGTAAGAATTTCTTCATAATTTAAAAGGTGATTCGTGATTAAAAAAATTAAGATTGTTCCATTTGAATTCTAGTAGTTCCAATAAAAAATACAGGATGTCCCATTTTAATCTAAAGCTACGAATCCTAGAAAAAAAAATTTAAACAAAACTTGGTTTTTAAACTGGAATTGGAAAGAGGGAATTTCTACTCTGCAAGATGACAATCATTTCAAGACCTAGTAAAGACATTGACAACAATTTGATTTAGCAAAAATGTTCAACAGCACAGTTGTAAGGTGACCATGGTCAAGTCACATTTTTCAAAGGAAAACCCTCATGTTTATCCTGAATTTAGGAAAAGCAAGAAATTTTATGTCTAAATGTATCCTGAATCTGTATATGTCCTTAGGGGCCATTGAAGTATTACGTAAGCAGATTTATTACAATTATTTACCCCCCCATCCTCCATTTCAGCAAAAGTAAGCAAAGCTCTTACCCCTTCCCCCATGCTTACATAAACATTTGTCAATTAATGTATTGTTTTTTTTTTAATACTATAATTATAACTTGAAAAATAAGAAAATAGATTTAGGATAGAGATTATATTTTACTGATACAGTATTCAACATAGAGTAAAGGACAAAAATATTATATCTTACTAGCATAACAAACTTATTTTAAATTTTTGGAACATATTAAATTCAAATTAACTCATCAGACCATGAAACCCGAATTCATGATTCTAAGTTTTCGATGACATTGGATTGCTTCGATTGCTGCTCAGTGTTGTGAGTTTGCTCGCTTTCATCGGATTTCGGACTGTCTACGTCGTTCTCATCGAGCCATTCAACAGCATGGTGCTCTAAATTTTGAATAATGCACGACGAGCAGCGACTCTTACAGGTCTAACTTTCCTATCAGTGTGCGTGTTTACTTTTTTATGGATATTTTCAATGTGACGATTTAGTGACTTGACGGAAGCAGGATAAAGACCACACGTTTTGCCTGTTCGACTTGATAGCCACAATTTTACCGTCGTACAAAAATAATCGTAGGGCATTTGCAGGAAATCTTTGAGTGAAGCACCTAAGCGTAGAGCTAAATTGACTGGAAGATTAAGAAATTGCCCTCCTTCAACCAAAACCAAGTCATCAACTGTTTGTTTTACTTTTACAGGTGGTGGAAGAATCCTATTGTCTAGTAATCTAAATAGGCCACTTCTTGTGCTCTACTGTGTTATACGCACTTCTTCAAGGAGCATTGGTAGCTAAAAACAATGCATCGAGATCATGTCGCTGAAAGGGTTGTATAGCAAACCCTATGACTTTTTGATAGTGGTCGAAACACTTCAAGTTCGAGAAGCTTCTGGAAATCCTGAGCATGAGTATTAGCAGTAGATGAACTATGCTTTCCACTTCGAATAGCGATGTATGTTGGTCCAGACTATCCAACGGCTTGCAGTTGTCCTAGCATATTGGAAGTGATTTTGATACCAGCATAAACAGATGGTATTAATTTATGATGCTCAGTGATTACCCAATCGAGATCAGGCAATTTGATTCTATATTCCATGTGCATTAGAAGAGGTGCTTGCGTATTTGCCGCAGTTACGCCAATAGGGACTCGAGCTTTATCATCTTGAGATATGAAAAATACTTGATCTGGTCCAAGTATGGATGCTATGTTCTCTAAATAATGGATTGATGTTTCAACAAACTTGCTATCTAAGTGGCTCTTGTGTTGATCAATTTGAGCCCGAATGAGCTTAATAGGGACTGTCGATACATGTCTTTGTCCCTCTGCAGAATTAGATTTTCTGTTGATCAAACGAAGATATGTCCCACTGCGACTAATGTCAAATCCTATTTTACGTAATTCTTGTGTGAGTTCATCAAGAGCTTTTACGCTGCGAATTGAGATTGACGTCCCACTGAATCCCTCCGAGATAGTATTTTTTTTTATTTCTGGATTTTCATGACATCTTCTAACTTTTTTTTCATACCATCCCTGTGTTTCTTCTGGGCAACTGCGTTTTGAACCTTCCTGTTTAAAGACTGTTTTGCTGTTTTTATTTCCTCGCGCTATTTAATGATCTGCTTATCAACTTCAGCACGGCTTGGCATAGTATCTCTGGCAGAATACAAAGCATTCAGATTTTTTTCGAGTAGAGCAATCTTATTTTTCATAGCTTCCTGAGAAGGTTTTGCTCTCTGTTTATCTGTATTTTCATTAATTTCGCATTGCTGTTGTGATTCATTACCGGGTTTTATTTTATCTTCTTCCTCTTTTTTAATATTTGAAGCAGACTGTATAATTTGTGTTTTTTCTGTAGGTTTACAACTTTCTATGGCTTCTGCTAAAGATTCTCTTATTAAGCTACATAAATACAAAGTATGGCAATATATATTATGGTCAATACAAAACCCTATGGCTTTAAATCTAATATGTTTAAACGAGCAATTCGTTCCGGTCACAAAATACAGGGTGTTAGTTTTCTGTATATATGTATAAAACTAACATCCTGTACTTTGTGACCAATTGACGGAATCAATCATAAGAAATAAATCTATAATATAATAAATATTACCTCTATACCTTGAGATAGGCCATAATATTTTCTAATCGGTAAAGAGAAACTTTTTGGCGATTTCTAATATTTCTAGTACTCATAGGTACCTAAAATGATTTCGTCACTCACCTTAGAAAAAAAATTTAGTAGATTAGATTTATTCTTAGTCGCCGCTTGCAATTCTTCTTCGATTCTCTTAGATACAATAATATCTAGTTCCTTGTCGGATTTTGCTTGTAATTTGTAATTTCTCCACACTTCGTTAACTAACTTTTGTACTTGTATGAGATTTTTTAAAACTTTCAAACAAGTTTTGGTATAACTTGGATTTGTCTATGTGAAACGACATCTTATTTAAACATTAAACTTTGGCTAATGGAATCAATGGTAACACAAATGTTAACTTGCTTTACTATGCTTGCAATACGTCTAATCGCTATAGTATCCAAACGAAACAATAAACTGATAGAGGAAATTTAGATAAGAGAACACCGCGCGGTAATTCCCCTACTCGGTTCTAAAGCGAGTAGGGGAATTACCGCGCGCTGTTCACTAAACATATGCATTATTTGCGGGAATCCCCGAAAATGCGTTTGGTTTTCAAGCAAAGACAATGTGAGGGTTACCATTGGTGTAAAAAAGTAAATAACTACCGATGACGTAATCATCATCTAGACTCCCCTACCCCCCATATCATCCAAAATAAGCAAAGCAAAGACCCCCCCGTCCCCCCATAGTGCTCATGTAATACTTGAACGGCCCCTTAAATGTTATTCGTAAGTCAGCCCCTTGTTTTTTATGCCAAACCTCTAGGGAACAAGAAATTTTATATTTAAGTGTTAATTTTAACATGGCTTTGAAGGCAGTGGTCAAGGTCAAGGTTAAGGTCAGTTTTGGGTGACCCTAATAAAGCTCACAACTATGCTGTTGAATATTTTTGCTAGAGAAAATTGTTCTTAACATGTTGAACACCATGGTGGTCCCATGGGACCGCTTGACAATGGGCCTATCACATCATGGCAGTCTCTATGGACCGCTTTGTAATCAATTTATTACTACGGTGACTCCAGCCAAGGTCCATATTTGAATTCATTTTAGCATTAGATATGGTCTGCTGTGGCTTGTATGGATTATACCCATATGCCAACTTTTTGGTGAATTTTTGTTTTAAATAGAGTTATTCAATTTTTTTTTATTCACATCATTTATTTTCTAATAAATCTACACAACAACTTTGACAAAAACAAACAAGATTCCAGTGAAAATGGATATATATAAAAATAAGTTATGATTCAGGGATACAAAATATAAGATAATTTCATTTATTTATGACTTGATCCGAAACAGTCAAGTGGGGATTTCCTTCACAGCTGTCACAATATACAGGGTTATCCAAATTAAGTGTCCACCATTAGTAACTTTGTTATTAGTGAAAATACAAAGTAGTTTGAATTAGCAAACTAGTAGCATTTTTAACGCTGGTAAAAATGAGAAATAAAAAAAAACAATTGAGAGTCGTTATTTTGATTTTTTTCAGTAAAATAACATTTTTTTAAATGGAAACCCCTGTATATTATATTTTTTTCTGTTAAAGCATCAAATTTTAAACAAAAAAGTTCATAATGACTTTTCCGCTAAAGTCAAAAATAAAGTCAAAATAACGATAAATATTTTTAATCATTTGCAGTATTATAATATTAAGACGGCTATGAAAACAACATGGCGTTCGCGATTTGACAGCATTAAGATAAGCGACAAATTGTTAAACTGGATATACTCGCAACTAGAAGGCTTTGGAAAACAATGATAAAATCAAATAATGTCAAACATTAGTGTAAATACTTGTTTATAAGCTTTATTGTGTCATTAATTTAAAGAAAAATGTTCTCCCATGAAGAAAAGTGTGATATGTTAGAATGCTATTTAGTGTGCAGAAAATCCTCCTTGAGAGCAAGACAGTGACAGTGAATTATACCCCGCTCGCATTCAACCGTATGAACGATATTTTCTGAGACTTAATCGAAAATTTAGGGACAAAGAAAATGTTTTTTGCTAAAACAAGGGCAAAAAAAGAATTCATAATAAGCGAGGCCACGGAAATTGCAGTTATTGGATATTTTGAAGCTTATCGTGAGAATTCAATAGCAGATATTCTCAAGGACTCTAATTTCAGTTATGGTACTGTTCAAAGGATTTTAAAAAAATACAAATTTATTCCGTATAAGTACCGACCAGTTCAAACGCTTTTGGCAGGGGATCCAGAGAGAAGACTTGTTTTTTGCCATTGGTATCTTAGCTTCTGTCGCCAAAATGTAAATAACTTTCGTTACCTTTTATGGACAGATGAATCAAATTTTTCAAATTCTGGAATGTTTAATAGAAAAAACCACCATTATTGGTCAAGAGAAAATCTTTTGTTAGTACATCCAAGAGGCCCACAAGTCCGTTTCAGTTTCAACGTTTGGTGCGGTATAATTGGTTCAAAAATTGTTGGCCCGTTCTTTTATGAGGGAACCCTAACTGGTGAAAGATATGTGGAATTTATGTCAGAAATTCTGACTAATTTCTTAGACGAATTGGATCTTATAAGTAGACATCATCTGCATTTTCAGCAAGATGGCGCACCTGCCCACAACTCCAGAGGTACTTATCATTTTCTAAGTACTACTTTTAATGATCAGTGGATAGGAACAAATGGCCCAATACAGTGGCCTCCCAGATCACCAGATCTAAACCCACTTGATTACTTCTTGTGGGGTTACTTAAAGAACCAAATTTACAAGCGAAGGTACGATAACCTTGACGCGTTAAAGACTGCAGTTGGGGAAAAGATAACCCAGATAGATGGTAGGACCATACTTAAGACAGTTCGAGCAGTTGAAAAACGTGCCCAAAAATGTATTGAAGAACAAGGTGGTGTTTTCGAGCATCTTCTTTAAAAAAAATTATTGTATTTTGTAAGATTATAAGTTGATGTTGAAAATAAAGTTTGTCGATACAATTTAATTGTTTCAGATTGGAGGCCATAACTTCAACAATTTGTAACCTAGGAGAAAAGTTATTGTAAGCTTTTTCGTTTAAAATTTGATGCTTTAACAGAAAAAAATATAATATACAGGGGTTTCCATTTAAAAAAATGTTATTTTACTGAAAAAAATCAAAATAACGACTCTCAATTGTTTTTTTTTATTTCTCATTTTTACCAGCGTTAAAAATGCTACTAGTTTGCTAATTCAAACAACTTTGTATTTTCACTAATAACAAAGTTACTAATGGTGGACACTTAATTTGGATAACCCTGTATAGTAACTTTTGGAATTTTATTTCTGGTATTTCACCCCTTATTTTTTTATTATAACATCCTTTAAAATATCGTCTGACTTCATGTGATTTTCCTTCTTTCAGTACATGTCAGCTTTTGATGATTAGACACATTATTTGTTGGAAACATGACTTTGGCCTGATGGACATTTTTCTAACATTTTGCTGGGCGTTTAACGTGTTAATGACTTGATTTGACCTTGAAGGTCATGGTGGTGGTCATGTCCAGACTTAAAATTTCCTCTCTTTCCAATTCCAGTCTAAAAAATGAGGTTCCATTGGAAAATATTTGCTTGGCTTTAAAATGACCTTGAAGTCATTAACAAGGTCCATTTTGCCCTAGGAGTTTTGTTTGATTTTTTTTTTCTAGTATGTATAGTTTTCAGTGGGGAGATTAAAAAAATCTTCATTACTTCTATTGAAATTGACTGAATGTTTTTTTTTTCAGACTAGACAGGTATTGGCTCAGCAGTTAGCCATAAGCAGAGATCTCACACAAAAAATAAACGATGAGAGTGATGCTGATGAAGAAAATATCTCGCAAGCAAATGAAGAGGTTCACATAACATCTGATAGTGAAAATCCATGGATGGGTAACTTGAAACCTAATAAAGAAGTTTTAGATTTTGTCAGTGGTTATAAGAAATATTGGTCTGAAAAAGGAAATGAACCACAATGTAACACTGTAGAACAAGTCACAGAAAGCAGTCAAAAAATTGCTATGGATGGCGTAAGTGAAATAGATATGGAAGATAATAAAATCGAAGGGTTCACAGAAAACAGTGAAGAAGTAATAACCAATGGGGCTAATGAAGAGGTAAAAGAAAATGAAACAGAAGATAAATTTACAAACAAAAGAAAAAGAAAGAGCCCCTTGCAACAGCAAGATGCCAAAAAAAATTCAAAAGAAAAAATAACTAGAGTTGGCTTAAAAAATAGGAAATTAGATAGAGTGAATATTGCTTCCATAGAGGTATCTAAGGATAAAAATTTACAAAAGATAATTCAGAAATTAGATGTTTCCAGCACATCAGAATGGGATGTTGAAGATGCCTTTGAAATCTTAGAAGAAAATATCAAAAAGAAAGTAAATAAAAAGGCAAAACAAATTAAAAATATTTCTACAAAAAAAACTAAAAAAGGCACTTCACTCAAACAGAAAGTCAAGAAAGTAGATCTAAGTATGCCATCAAAATCCAAAAAGCATGTTATAGATGAAGAAATGCTTGAAACACCTGGAAGTATGGAGCCTGCAGATGAAGATCCAACAGTAACTTCTGGGATGGATCAATTGAAACAAATAATTGATGTAACAAATGTGAATACTGAAGTTAATGTAAATCCAGAAAAGTTTCTCAATGTTAAAACCACTCGTCTGGATACAGCCATTCCAGATTTTGCTACTACAGATGAAAATGAAGAGGAAGCAGGTATGGATACATTTAAAAATTGGAGCGATTTTTTATTATTCATATCGATTGTTTGAAATCAAATTGCATCAACCATTTTTCAAATGGACTGCTGCACTTTTTTAAACTTGGGGTCGCCTACTATTTGTTACAAAATAGGTCTGCATTCACAAGTTGTGAAAATCGGGCTGCATCTCTCCAAAATCACACATCACATTCATCCACTTTAACTTACCTTTTTTAGGATATTTTTAAATCAAATATCAACAAGTTTATGTTTCTCAGTTGCAGGACAAAAAGAACTAATAATGGAAGCCTTCGAAGACGACGACGTCGCAGCAGAATTCGAAAAAGAAAAAGCTGAAGAAATAGACAAGAACAAACCCAAGGACATCGACCTGAACCTACCCGGCTGGGGCAGCTGGGCAGGCGCAAACATCGACTCAAGCAAACGAAAAAGAAGAAGATTCATCATAAAAATGCCACCCGAAATCCCAAGAAAAGACTCCAACAAAGGCGCGCTGATTATAAACGAGAAGGCCGAGAAGAAAATCAAACCCTTGCTTGTATCTGAAGTGCCGTTCCCTTTCAAATCGGTCAAGGACTATGAGGCTAGTATTAGGGCACCTATTGGGAATAATTGGGTGCCTGAGACGGCTTTTAGGAGGTTTATAGAGCCGCCGGTGATTACGAAAATGGGGGCCATCATTGAGCCGATTAGTAAAAGCATTTTGGTTGGGCAGAAGAAAGTATATTAGGCATATAATTTGTTTATTATACTTTGTTGAATGATAAATACATTTTGTTTATATTTTTGTAAGTTGTCTGATTTTTTTATATATTCTATGCTATATTATTTATGAAACATTCAGCTTCATTGGATGATTACGGAGTCAACAACGCCATTATCAAGGCGTCTGTTGATACAGGGTGGTCCAGAAAGACGTACGAATTTCAAAACAGCATTGCTCGTGACAGACACGCGGGAGCGGGACCTGCACCTGTCATCGTCCCGATTTCGGCTCAAGTATTCGCTGTTTCTGAAATTTCACTTCTAGAAGTAACGCACGGATCTGATGGAGGGACTCAGGACGCTGCTCCCACTAATTCGTAAGCTTACCCTGGTTATCGTCACTGGAAAGCTGTCATTCCAATCAACATCGATAATCCATCATGTATTGTGGGCTTAGATTACGGTAGGACGTTTGTCGGGAAGAAATACATGTCTAGTTTCCTAATTTGAAATTTTTTACCTTACAGGTACATATAAATCCGAACACCCAGTTTAAATGGTTTTATTTTAATAAAAGTTGGTGAATGTATTTATCTTACTGTAAATAACAAGTGAAAAAATGTTCAGCCTTATCAGTTGGACATTCCGATGAAGATCGCCGCCTAAGATTATTGGCCTTAAGGGACCGTTTTTCCACTACCAGGTCCATTGCAAATGAATGGTTTGCAGAACACGGAAGACCTATTGGCATGCGAAGTGTTTACCGACGAATGAGAAGTTTTGGCTTGTTTTCATACCGGCCACACTGGGTCCTCCCTTTAACTCGAGAACACCGACGTAATCGCCTTGAGTGGTGCAGACAACGGTCACTCTGGGATCAGGAATGGAACAGTATTGTCTTTAGTGACGAGTCTCGATTTTGTTTAGGCATGCACGATGGTCGTGCCAGGGTTAGAAGGCGACGTGGCGAAAGGAGGAATCCACAGTTTTTTGTTGAAAGACATGTTCATCACACTGTTGGGAGTTATGGTTTGGGGTGCTATAGCTTATGGTTCCAGGTCACCTTTAATCTTCATCAGAGGTAACATGAACGCGCAGCGTTATATCCAAGAAGTTCTAGAACCCCATCTTTTACCCTATCTTGACACCCCGGCAGATCCAACTTTCCAACAAGATAATGCCCGACCACATGTTGCAAAAGTCACAATAGACTTCTTTCAACATAATGATGTAACATTGTTACCATGGCCACCAAGATCTCCCGACTTATCCCCAATTGAGCACGTGTGGGATATGATGGGTAGGAAATTGCTCAATTTGTAACGTCCTCCTCAGAGTCTAGAAGCACTTCGAGAGGAGTTGGTGGTTGCCTGGAATGAGATACCACATGAGGACATTGATCAGAAGCATGCCTAGGCGCGTTGGAGAATGCGTAGCACATCAGGGTGCATCCACACATTATTAAAGGTCAAAGGGCTTTAAAGCAGTGCAATCATTTTGAAATTTTTATCATTTACTTATGCTTCATTAAGTACTTATATAAAATTTTATTAAAATAAAACCATTTAAACTGGGTGTTCGGATTTATATGTCACTTAGTATAATAGTTTGAGCTATCAGTCTTTTACCCAAAATTTTACTAACGATGCAGACATAAGATGGTTCTTGAAGGGCATTTACAGGCTGAGGCCATCTCAACTGAAATATAGATACTGTGGTTGTTCTCAACCAACCAAAGGGGTTACTGGTAAGCTCCGTAGATATTTGGATGAGGAAATCAGCAACATTGCTAGCTCTAATCTCAGGTCAGAGTGTGCAAACTAATTGAAACAGACAACATCCGGATTGGGTTGAATACTAAAATTGGGATTTCTGAGCTTTTAAAAGTCTCGGGGTCACTCTGGCAACCACTTAAGTTTTACCGTATTTTACGCCCAAATATCTGTGCAAAGCATTTATCTGTCACTGTACAGTAACTGTATCATGGTGCCCCAGCTCCCAGATGGATGAAGTCGGTTTTAGCAGAGTGTCACATTTGACAACCCACAGTACATGAAATGCGTCTACCTCTCCGCCTGCTAAAGTATAGTAGTCTCAGGCTCGTGGCGGCCGGTCCATAGGGGCGAAAAGGCTACAGCCCCCCAAGACAAAATGCGAATTAACAAAAAATTTAAAATATGATTTTGTGATTAAATAATTTCCAGATATATACGAAAATTCAATCAAAACCTGAATTTTAATAGTAGCCAGTTACGCAACACGCAATATATATATATATATATTATCCGATCCCAATACCCCGAAGTCGCGAGCTAGATTCCCTATCGATTCGAGGCTAGAATAATTTTTGCCGCGATCGCCGACCTGATTGAGTGGCTCGCTACGTCATACCCCCCACGCGCTTACGAGTTTTATACGGGATTTTAACACGCGAGGTGGCGAAATAATTTTTATTCAGTCCCGATTTACGTGTGTACGAAATCGCTTCGTCGCGTCCCCGTGCCGTCGTTCGGGCGTTCAAAAAGTTTAAAATGGCAAATGAAGTACAAAATTTGTTAAAAGGTGAATTTTCTCGGCTTCCGCTTGCTGAAAAAATAATAATAAAATCCCTTGGAAGGCCGATTTCAAATATCAACCTTACTCAGGCTGATAAATCGACGAAAGCTGGTTGTTTTAAGAGACATTTTAAGAAAGATATCTATAACAAAAACAAATGGATATGCGGTTGTGGCACATTAAACGCCCTGTTTTGTTTTCCGTGCTTACTGTTTTATTCAGATGCAGCGGAAAAGACATGGACAAGAACTGGATTTAAAGATTTAAAGCATATAAACCAGAAAATTAGTAAGCATGAAAATTCGGCTCGTCACATGATTTGTTCGACAGAATTAGCTTTATTGGGAACAGCTAGTATCGCTGCTCAGTTAGATTCCGCTTACAGGCAAAATATTATTAAGCACAACGAGCAAGTGGACAAAAATAGATATCTTTTAAAAAGAATAATAAACTGTATAAAGTTTTGCGGTAAATTGGAATTAGCGTTAAGAGGGCACGACGAAAGTGAAGACTCTGAAAATAGTGGCATTTTTCGAGAGTTGATTAATTTTACGTCCGAACTGGATACAATATTAAAGGAACATTTAAAAAGTGCGACACTGTTTAAGGGTACTTCTAAAACAGTACAAAATGAAATACTAGATAGTATGTTGGAAGTCTGCCAACAAGAAATTCGACAGCAAATTAATGCAGCAGAGTTTTTAGCTATACAGTGCGACGAAACAACAGATATTTCACATCATTGTCAAATGGTAATGATATTTAGATATCTCCATGAAGGTGAAATACAAGAAAGATTTTGGCGTTTTTTGAGCGTTACGGACAAGACAGCTGAAGGTTTGGCAAAGTGTATCGAAGAAGAACTAGGCCCATTATTAAAAGATTCACCCCACAAATTAATTGCGCAAACTTATGATGGTGCAAACGTAATGAGCGGTAGCAGTGATGGAGTTCAAACAAAAATATCAGAACGCTCATTTTATACACTGTTACGCTCACCAACTGAACTTAATTATGCAGAGAGCAGCCAGCCAAAATCCAAAAGTAAAAGTGTTTTTTTCAAACCTGTCGGCAATTCCAAGTTTCTTCTCCAACTCCACGCACAGATGCGATTTATTGGAAAAAATAGTTAAAACCAAAATGCCAAAGGTTGCGCCAACACGGTGGAATTATAACATTCGCACAGTCAGTGCCGTTTTTGAGAACCGTGAAAGTCTTATTGATTGTTTCCGGGAGTTAGAGAATAAATGTGATAAAACAATTACTAGTAAGGAGGCATACGGTTTAAGAAGAGCACTCGAAGATTCTGATTTCATCTTTTTTTTGACTTTTTTTCACAAAACCCTACCGCACGTAGCTATTTTGTTTAACCAGTTTCAAAGTAGGAATAACGACAGTGTACAACTTTTAAAAGATATTGACGTATTTGAGAAGGCCATTGTATTGATTAGGGACACTACAGAGGATATACAGCAAACTGTTGAAAATGAGCATGGAGACAATGGAAATAAACGCAGAAAAGTAGGACCCGAAGAAAGAAATTGTATTATTGCAAAAGAAGTTTGCGATATAATAATTGTACAGACAAAAGAGAGACTTTCTTACAGGGGTCATCTAGAAGCTGCATCTTTATTAGATACACAAAACTTCACAAACTATTCGAGATATTTTCCAGCAAAAATACTGAATTCAGTTGTGACTTATTATCCAATGGTAAATAAAGAAAAACTGAAAACCGAATTAGAAGTAATGTACATGAGGGAAGACTTCAAAAATATTACAGGTGGTTTGAATTTGCTGTCCCTATTGACTAATAACAACCTAGAGGAAACTTTTAGCGAAGTAACTAAGTTGTTGCAAATAATTATAACTACTCCCATGTCAACTTCCGAAGCAGAGCGCTGTTTCTCAACCCTTAAGAGGATAAAATCGTTTTTAAGAAACTCGATGGGCAATGAACGACTGAATGCATTGGCAATGATGTCTGTTAATAAGAATCTGGTACATAATATCAGCAATTTCGACGAAAAAGTGATGGAACATTTTATTTCACAGAAAGACAGAAGATTAGACTTTACATATAAACATTAAAAAATATTTTGTAATAAATAGAAGTGTGAAGTGTGACAGTTGAAACACAATGTTTGCTCTAGCTGTAGGTAGGTATACTTAGTCGTTTATAATACAATAATACATTTAGGTATACCGTATTTCTGTTCTCTTTTCCAGTTATTTATAGTTACATGTGTTGTAAGAAAGTGAAAAACTATACTTTTGAGTACTGTTGTTCTTTTGATAATAGATGCTCTGTTGCTTTCATATTAGATGCTGCTTTCTTTTGCGATAAGTTCTCGTACCTAAAATATGTTTGTTCCTATACAGAGGACTGTACATAAAATATATAGGTATAGGATTGCCAACTGATCCATCTACAAAATCAGGACATAAAAAATGCAAAAAAATTATAGCTCTAAAAATGTATATTTGAATTTGAAGGCTCAAAATGGAAGTTTTTGGGCGTGGCACCGTAA